TAAATAAGCTATATTAGATAATCTAGTTATAGTTAATAACTTATTATAGTTAATTATAAGCCTAAGTTAAGGGTAAAGGTTAAGTAAGTTTATAATTATACTAGCCTAGAATCTTTTAACTCTATAGGTATAAATACTGTTTTTTAACCCTAAAAAGCTTAATACCTAGGTTACTAAGAGATAGTAGTAGGCTAAGTTTAGTCTTAAGAAGGGCTATACTACTAGACCCTTATTTAATACTACCTCTATAGGTGAGAACATTATTTTCTAACCCTATATAAATAGGAAGGTGCAGGCTAAGGAGGCTAAGAAGGATAGTAGTAAGAAGGGTAGTATAAAGGACTAGCTTAAGGATAAGAAGGTTAATTATTATATTTATAGTAGAGAGCACTTTACTACTTATTATCTATTTAAGGATACTATAGCTCCTATTAATAAGGGTAGAGCCTAGGATAACTTAGTTATACTTCTTAATTTAGTTATACTAGATAAAAGGCTTCTAGATTAATTATAACTTAGATACTGAGTTCTAGTCCTTATTAATCTCTAGGTGTGTGGTGGTTAAACAGCTGTTAATCTATAGGGTATTAATATAGTATTAAAGGTATTTAATTAGTGAATCTATGACATTAGCTATAATAGCAAAGATAATAATAATTTATAAATAATATTATTATAGTATAATAGCTTTATAGGTAGAACTACTGACTAATAATAAATTAACTTCTAGGATAGAGTCTGATAATATTAGGAATTATAATTAATAGATAAGATACTAATATTAATTAATATATAAGTATACTCTACCTTTAGAGTACTAAGGCTTCTATTAGTTACCTACTTACTTCCCTAGAAGAATGAAATATATATAATATAATAGGAATAGAGCTATTATTACTATTATACCCTTATGACTTTTAAAATAGTATATTATTCTTTATTTACCTTTATTAGGGAGTCTTTAGATGGTAAAGATAGTAATAGGAATAAGGAAGTCATTATTTTTAAATAAAGGAATCTAAGGATAATAAGGGAGAAGTAGGTATTATTTTAAAAAACTTCTAGATAATAAATATAGTAAAATTATTTTATTAATTACTATACTATACTATTCTTTACCTAAGGTGTACTATTATATAATTATTTTACTCTTTATTCCTCTTATAATTAAATAAATTAATAGTATTAAGTCTTATCTTCCTTCTCTATAGAGGGATTAAGGTAGATATAGATAATTAAGTTCTACTTTATAATTCAGTTTAATAAGATGATTTAGTTAGATAAGATGGTTCTATTGTCTAGGGTAATTCAGTTATAGTTAATACATTGGTTATAGTTAATAAGTAAGCTAAATTATATCAGCAAGCTGGAGTGGATGGGCGAGCTAGAGTGGATGGGCGAGCTGGAGTGGATGGGTGAGCTAGAGTGGATAGGTAAGCTAGAGTGGATAGGTAAGCTAGAGTTAATAGGTGAACTAGATCTAATAAATAAGATAGAGAGGATTAGTAGGTTATAGGTAATATAATAAATTATAGTATAGATACTAGGATAGGTGGTGGTGTTTAAAGGATTAATTATATAGTAGTGCAGGCATACTATGACTATAACCTAAATTACTATAGAAATTTTAAAGTAACCCCTACACTCAATATATAAGTAGATTAGATTAAATTTTAGTTATAATATAGAGTAAAATATAGGGAATACTATAGACTAAGTTTTATAAAAGAATACTTTAAATTAGTGGAGTAATTAGAGGTGATTGTTAATAGTCTAATAATTTAAATTAGGTTAGCATGGTCTGGTTATACTAACCTAATTTGAATTATTAGACCATCTGACAGTATATATTTAAACTATGATATAAAATCAGGGAAAATAGATAAAAATAAAAGGGAAGAAGATTTCTATTCTATATAATACCCTCTATCTATATATATTAAAAAGTATTGATTCCTACCATATCTGGTGGTTGAACATCACCATCATTTTACCTACTATATGGGCGAATGGCGTCCAACTACTTACAATTAGAGGCCAGTGTCTCTTGGCCGAACCAGAGCGCAACGCATGCGTGCGCATTCTGCGAGATTCAGGAGCAAACTGGCTGGAACACGCGCGCAAGCGTCAACAGACTTAACGCAGCGTGGAAGAATGGTTGGGGGCATGAGTCCGCGGGGACGCACTCTGTGGTCAGGCGTGTAGATGCTGGAAAGCTGTTGTATCATGTTTGGCTTGGTGACGAGAGAAGTCTGAGATAAATGATGCGGGCTTGGTTATGGCGCTCAAGGTGAATACATATTCGCCCAGAGACCAAATGGCGGTCCCTCAACCGTAAGTGCAAAGTCCTTTGTACATAACTGCCCATGTCTGACTAGATGTTCCACACCGACCACTGGATTCCGACAACGGGTTGACTAGGTTACCAGGCAGGGGCGATATATCGCAATTCAGACCTTTTTGATAATCCTATCGATTGAGCCGTTGCGACATCTTAACACAGCTACACGAGAAAGGTCACAACAAGGAAGCTTCAAACGTATATATCACATGTCATATTTGGGCCCGTTGTTGCTGAATTTAGCATAGATAAGATCTGAGCCACGTGAAAGTGACCACAGAAAAAGTCACTCTAATTTTTGTAAACTGTACAAAAAATCCAAACTATTAGGCGATCGTCTGCACCTCTGGCTTTTCGTCCGATACCGAATCATTCTTGTTGACTCCACGTTCCATCAAGACATCACCGTGCAATTTATACGCCTGCTCCATCTTCCAGTGGAAGGGACTCGGTGTGGAAAATAATGCCTCGATAGATTCCAGGGAGCGGTTACAGGTTTCGGGGTAGACTAAGACGATCATCAGCTCTGGTCGATCGACATCCATTGTCGTAGCAGGAACTTACAGAGATAAATGATTGGGATCCAGATCAAATTGAGAACGGCGAAGAGGAAGTACGTGCGGCTCTGTGTGATAGCGGTCAGCTTCATCCCCAACAGGATCTTTGATGAAGCTTACCTTCATAGTCGCAAACATAATCGGATTGACCAGAGTGGTCATACCCACACCGATAGCCCACCCAGTAATACCGAACCCGTTACCCTGGGCCCGCAAGTCGCTCGGGAATATCTCTGTAGGCACCAGGAATGCAACAGTACCCCATGTTGCAGCATAACTGGGAGAAGACATCAGGTTAGTATAGAAGGACAACTGAAGTTGAGTGTGGTCGACTTACCCAATATTAAACAGGAACAACATGGTAATAGCACCCGGGGCATACTGAGCAGCCTTGTCAGGATTTTGCAATGAGCCCTCGTAAACGGCTCCAGCCTGGCTTATAATTAGAGCTGCACATCGCAATCGTATTGTGAGTAGTGACGTACAATTAGATTGACACCAAATAGCACTGCTGAGCCCCCCATAAGACAGGTACGGCGGCCCAGGCGGTCGACAATCTGGGCACTTATTATGGTCCCGACAATGCCAACCGTGTTGAGTCCTCCAGCCAGACCGTTCTGCTTGATCATGCTGTATCCGGCCTGGGACAAGAGAACTGGAGCGTACGCCGTGACGGCCTATATTCGACCAAGTTAGAAGTAGTCATCAAAGACATGCTAACGGGATGCTCCTACCGTAATGCCTGTCCAGGAGCCCATGATTTGGAGCCACACACACAGCCAAGCTCGCCTGCCCAGGTTCGGATGCCGCGTTCCACCCTTCCCAATCAAGATATTCGCAAATTGGACTGGAGAGCTAAGCTGGCTTCCCTCTGCCAGGGTAACGATCTCCAAGTATTCTCGGTCAATCTCCTCGGGGCTTGCCCTGTGCTTGCGAATGCTTTCCAACACCTCACGTGCCTCTTCGTTCCGACCAACTGAAGCAAGATACCGGGGACTATCCGGCAGCATCTTGATGCAGCAGACAAGAATCACAGCTGGGAAACACTGAAAGGCAAGTAAGAACCGCCATCGCACGTCCGAGTATCCATTATTGATGAACGCGAGGCCGAACGATATCCAATATGCGACTGATATCCCGAGATCTGGAAGGTGTTAGCAAGACAATTAAAAGAGAAAAAAGCTTTAGACGGGTGTTACAATTCGCAATGAAGACGTATCCTAGGAACCCACCGCGGTGATCCGCCGAAGAGGTCTCTGACACTAGGACAGGAGTGATGCCGGTTAAAGCTATACCACCATGAGTCAGAACAAGTTTGACCAACCGGCCACCATATATCGAGCTCACCTCCGGTACCAATGCCTGTAATCACTCGAGCGCAAATCATAAAGTCCGAATTCTGAGCAGCGGCCTGTAATGCACCGCCGACCAAGGCAAACAAGGCGCCCACCAGCAGGCCATTAATTCGACCAGCTCTGTCAGCAATCCACCCTCCAGCAAAGCAGCCGAAGATAGCTCCTAGGTAGTAGACGCTAACAATTCCGCCCTGGTGTGTGGTGTCTGTCACGGTGCCGTCCGGCTTCCCAATGCCGACCTCAGTGACGTATTTGGGTGAGGCATTGACGCCGCCCATGACGCCTTGGTCGTAGCCTTCGAAAAAGATGGAGATGAGCGAGAAAACTTGGATAGTGACATTCAGTTGTCGCGGCGAGAGCCGCCTCCATAGTGTCGTATAACCCATCTTTGTCTGTTATTGCTCTACCCCGGTTCATACATTGGTAATATCGGGGCCCCACGAATTCTTATAAGGCGGAGAGTCCATCCTTCGACCTGTCTGTTTCCGGTCGAACGGGATGGAGATTGTCATGGAGAATCGCGGGGGAGTAGCCGTTTAGCCGCGTTTGCTAGTCTGAGCTCATTTCTCCATACTCGGGTGTCGGCCCGTTGGCAATGATCATAAAAATAAGCGTTTTGCCGATTAACGTTTAACCGAACCGTTTAGCAATTTTGGCGATGATGCCAATCAGAAACTGAATTTACTGAACAGACACTGATCGGCCCAGGTGCATGCCCCTGGCCTGGATTCTCGCCATGATTGCGTCAGCGATGAGATTTCGGCTTCCGTTAAATACGGCCGAGTCCGAGTCCTTGCTCGCGATTCTGCATACAATTTCGATACAGTCATTGAGCGCTCCTGTGTAGATCGAAATCATGGGCTCAACCGCCAACAGCACTGCCGTCCATACCTTGGATCTGACCGTCCTTGGTCTGAACAGCGGGACGTCAATGGTGAGTGCTCTAACTTGGTTATCATGGATAGGAGGATGAAACTCACGGTGACTGAAGGATGGCATCGACTGTGCCCTTTGCCACTTCCGCCAGGAGACTCCTGAGTCGCCGATGCACTTTGAGCTGCTCAAGGTAAATACTCTCATCATTCTCATAAAACACAATTGACGCTAGATGCAGTATGGGGAGATCCCGCTGGAGCCGGTGATTAAGAGACGGGTGATGAACATGATTCTGCACAACCGAACGTCGCCATCCGAGTTATCAGAAGTCAACGTGATCCTAGGCGAGACGTTTGCATCGGCTGCGCGTCAATTTTGTAAGGACTACCACGTCGATATTGACTCGATCGATATATTGGGTTCCCACGGCCAGACGATCTGGCTACTCTCCATGCCTGAGCCAGGAGAGACTCGGAGCGCATTGACAATGGCTGAGGGGTCATTCCTCGCCTCGCGTACTGGTATAACCTCAGTGACAGATTTCCGTGTGAGCGATCAAGCTGCTGGGCGCCAGGGCGCTCCGCTTATTGCATTTTTTGACGCGTTACTACTGCACCACCCAACCAAGCTGCGTGCCTGCCAGAACATCGGCGGCATCGCTAACGTGTGTTTTATACCGCCAGACACCCACGGCGGTGTGAATGAATGCTACGACTTTGATACTGGCCCAGGCAATGTCTTCATTGATGCCATCGTGCGCCATTACACTAATGGGGAGCGGGAATACGACAAAGATGGTGTGATGGGTGCGCGTGGTACAGTTGACCAGGAGCTTGTTGATGATTTCTTACAGCACCCATATTTTGCCCTTGAGCCGCCCAAAACTACGGGACGTGAGGTTTTTCGGGATACGCTCGCCCATGAATTTATCACTAAGGCTGAGGCCAAGGGTCTTAGTCCTGATGACGTCGTTGCCACTATCACCCGAGTTACGGCCCAGGCTATTGTGGACCACTACCATCGCTATGCCCCGAAAGGCCTCGAGATTGCAGAGATCTTTATGTGCGGTGGCGGAGCGTATAACCCTAACATCACGTCGTTTATCCAGAAGCACTATCCTAGTACGCGTATTATGATGTTGGACAGTGCAGGTATTCCCGCTGGCGCCAAGGAGGCCATCACCTTCGCCTGGCAAGGTATGGAAGCTGTGGTGGGCCGCTCTATTCCTGTTCCCACGCGCGTGGAGAACCGCCAGGAATATGTGCTTGGGAAGGTGTCTCCAGGCAAGAACTACCGCAAGGTTATGCGCCACGGTGCACTTTTCGGTGCTGGTCGCGATCATCTCCCCCCAGTGAAGGAGCTGGTCAACTACGTCGACGGCAAGGTTTTCAACAACAAGTGGTAAATGAGGATCTAGGAAACTTAAATTACTGAGTTTTCCTTGTACGGAATGAGAGCGACACATTGTACTTTAGAGAGTTCATGGTCTAGACACATCTAACATTCATGAATGCACAAGCCATTGGATGGCCTTATAGTTCAGTCTTGTCTATCCGTCCTTACATAAGCAGACTCTTCACAATTAAATAGATCTTAACGATTTATGCTGTTGAGAGAGCCTCTCCCTGGTTATGTCGTCGGCACCCTTTCGCTGTTTGTCTCTTCCCACAACGCCCGGCGTTCTCTGCTTTTCCTTGTTCAACCTCTCTGAATAGCTTCAGCTTCACACAATACATAGACTTTTACCCTTCGGATGCTCTTCGTGTTTTTTTTAAAGCTTCATGCGGTGTCAATCTTCCTCGAAATTTAGATCATCACCGATTCAACGCACTCCAAGTTTGCGCAGGCTTCTTCTGTGGTTAGCCGGGTTTCAAAGCCGACAACTTAGACTAGTAAACTATGTCGAACCTTTACAGGATATCGCCGTTCTCCGAAGATAACGGAGCCTGGCGTACCTCTATTATGCCGCCCGCTTTGTATATCTGTCCTCTCTTTCTTTTGCTCTACGAGCCTTATTCAAGCATACCATCAGATCGGTCGTCCGAACTAGACTTTAAGGATCTTTCCTACCACGTTCAGGGAGTGTGAGCAATCGAAATAAGATGCCGTCAGATTCACTGAAACCTACGGAGACAAACTAGAAATGACTTACGACGCATTGTGTCTACGTCCGTCACCAAGCTCACTTTGCAATCGAGCTTGAAGCGGCAAATATTGCATGAGTAAAAGATTAAATACAAGGGCCATATATACCACGTTATATGCAGATCACCTTATCACCCAAAAATGAAACTATTCGAATCCCCAAGGCAGAAATCCCTCTGTATTGTAGGAATTCAACGGCCATGGCCAATCTGTGAGCAGTTCTGGTGGCAGCTGAAACTGCGACATCTGGTCGAGCCCAGCACTGGGTGTGGTTCCGGCAGCCGGGGTACTCCATGTATACGCTGATGGGATAGCAGTTTCGGGATTTGCTGGCATCGGGGTACTGAGTACAGGAATATCTAGCACAAGTGAGGTACGCATATAGCCGTCTATTCGATCAACCTGGTTCCGCAGTCGTTCGCCGGCACCGGAGGACCGATGTAGATCCGTTTCGAGGCGTTGTAAGAGACCTGCCATTTCAAGCCTAGATGCAAAAATGTCAGGTAAAACTCATGGTATCATGTAGTTTCTGTTAAACCGTGCTAAACATACAGCATTGTGCGAACTCGTGCGTAGGATTCTTGCGACAGACTGCCTTCTATGACAGAGCCGAGGATGCAGCCAATGCCACCAAGGTGATGGAGCTACGATTTATCAGTATAAGTACCCAGAGGCATGGAGACAGCACATACCAAAGGGGAGCTGATCGCCTTTAGGTACTCGACAGGTACATTCGAAAACGCTCTGAGTAATTCACCCGCTACATCACATTTTCGCTCCACTCCAATTTCCTCAGCAGACAAGAGCATCATCCGAAGGAGCTGTAGCGTCGCCATAATATTGGCTGACTGGAACCCGAATAAGTCCTTAGATATGTCTCCTGTAGTTGGCGGCGTCTCCCGAAATCGCGATGGAAGTGCGGAGTACATAGTAAGGACTTGATCCATGACCGCCGGCTCTGACATGGGTAATGGGCTGAACAGTGACCATACTTGTGTTTTCCCGTTAGCTGAAGAGAAGCGGCGTCTATTGCCATCGATCACATATTCAAGAAAACGGTAAAGGTCAGTGGTGAAGTTCCAACCACGTAGCCAGGGCACAGGTTGGCGGGAGACGACGGTCACGGTGCTAGCCGACAGAGGATTCGATCCTGGTGGCATAGACGGCACGCCATAACCGTGGGTGGTGATGAATTCGTCATCTACCTCGGTGGGGTAGCGCACGGCGGAATGGGCCTCACGATATCGAATGACGCCTCCCCACACAACAGTTGAATATATATCTAGCGTGTAGACAGACCAAAACTGAAAAAGTGGTCAGTAAAGCGGTAACAAATGAAGGGCGTATTCCATACGAGTCGCCGCCGCTCCTCTGTCTCAATCGGATTTAAGTCCTTTGGCCAGAACTTTTCGTCATATAAGCAATCCATCGAAATCAAGGTGTGGCATAAGCCAGAATACTTCTGCATATTTTTGATCTGGCCGTTTTGGATGCTTGCGATAGCAAGTATGGCACACGCGCGCATATAGTGGATACCTTTGGCTGCGACAAGGTCCCGAGGAATCGAGTCTCTAGCAGCCTCAAAAAAAGCCTCAGAGGGCGGATCTATGAGGTCTTCTCGATGCCACCGATTAGAGTATAACGCACCGTCACGCGCACGACCGGAGGCCAAAGAGCAAACAGCCATCGTAGATGCAAAGAGCCCTTGGTTGCGGAGGTGCTCCTTGTTATTGACCTGCTCTACAAACGACGGCATGTGAAAAAACGGAAATCTGCAGATGATATATTAAGTCAAAGCAGTCAGCCAGAAAAGTAAGGAATTCATCGTACATTGGATAGACGATTTCGAAATAAACCTGGACTAGAATTCTTATTTGCCGGTCACAGGCAATAGCAAATGCTTTCCAAGAATCGTGGAGCGCCATGTAGTCATCATTGCCCTCGGCTGCTGACCAGCCATGATCAAAGGTAGACCAGGGATCGCTGAAGTTCGATGAGCGGTAGGAGCTGCGAGACGTCGAAGGGCCAGAAGCTCCTCCATCACTTCCAGTTGCTGCTGGTGCGGGGATTACATGCTCGCCTGATTCAATCACAGACTGAGTATCGAGAGCGCTCGCCCGAGAGCCAGCCTTGACGCCCCGGCGTTTTGCCGGGCGGTCAAAGGTGCAGGGCACATCAAAGTCCGCACAATTCTTACAGCGACCTGGAGTGCTCTCACTTTGGCTGCATTTGATGCTGCGTCTATTACAAAAGTCACCTGTATTGAGTTGCATAAATTAGCAAAAGCAGGTCTTACGTCCCGGTGTTTAAGACCCAGGTCAATCAAATCGAAGGTTAGCGATCTTACAGGCCTTGGAGACGCGCTGAAGTTTTCGCGGTTTGTACGACATTCACTCGTCAAATCATTTCAAGCGGATCAGAGCGCAGTTTGAGCCAGGTGTGGAGCTTTGGCAAGTCGTACGTAGCTTGATACCGAGGCCCACCGGATACAGATGACGTATCCTAAAAGGAGAATCGCGGCGGGGGGCAGAAGCTCATCAACTTATCACGGGCCTTTCAGAAATCTGCACTCGTCTAGAAGAGAAGCGGCAAGTCGACTTCGAGAGCCGGGTACCTGGAGATCTCAGCCAACGTGACGTATGGTCATGTGACTAGAAGAACTTGCGGGAACCCGGTACTCGGATATGGATTCACGTAGCCGGTAAGCGAGTGGATCATGTAAGCGGACGGACCAATCACTCCATCCAAAAACGCGTCCCGACGCGCACCTACCATTTTCATCTCCCCCATTATGGCGTCAAATCGCACCCAATCCAGCCAAAATCCCGCTGAGCAAGAAGGTAGAATTCTACTAGCGATATCGGCTATCCAAAAACAGCAAATTCTCTCTATTCGCGATACTGTAAACTACCATACACCACACTGAGTCGCCGTCTCGCAGGCTGCCTAAATCGGGCGACTACGCTCCCAAATAGTCAAAAATTGACTGAAACGAAAGAGATTTCACTATGCAATTAGATAATCTCTATAGATTCGCGTAGTACAACGCCTCTGTACGCGCATATACGTGATATAGCCAATTTACTTCTCATGGGGCGGAGTCCCCCCCGGCGTTTCGGTTAGCCAAAAATGGGAATATAACTATATACGTGTGGAAAGGCGGTCGTTTCTGGCGTCAAACGCGGTCATTTTCGGCCTCGATTCCACAGGTCCTCATATCCCACATGTAATTAAGATTATTAAGTATATAATAATATGATTTTAGGGCCTATTATATATTCAAAATACCTTTGTATTAAATACCTACTTCCTCTTCGTTAATTACGTATCACTTCATAGCTCACCTTATTACTATATTAAAGTATTCATCTAAAAGGACTTAAAATATCTTTATATCATAAAGACCTTTCTTTATTATGTACTGTGGTGCAACAAGGCGAATAAGAATATTACTTAAACTTGCGGGCAGTATCTGCGTTTTTCTAGCATCTCCACCTGCGCCTTTGCGGTAGGCTTAAATGCTCAAGAGCGTCAGTCTTGGCTTAGGGAGAAACGTCCCAGGAGTACTCGCCTATCATGGCTAGTGCATGCATCAAACGGGGTCTTATGGTAGAATACGGTAGTTAGTGCCTGAGAGATGTCCCAGGCTAATCCGAATAATGAGCGTGGGGAGCCCCTATCCTCAGAGGTGAGTCCCTGGTTTATAATCTCTATCTGTTCGTGGGTGCTCAGTTGTTAATAGCTTGTGCTTGGCTTCTTAGGTACGATTGACCTCATCTGTGATACGATCGACATTCCCAATCGGGGGCTCAGGTCAACAGCATAACGCGTGTGCTAAAGAACCATGGGTTGTTGATGGTTTAAGAGAAGGTTTCCTAGGCAAGGAGGAAGATTTGCTACCGAAGTACTAATTTACTATAGCTAGGGACTAATAGAGCATACAAAAGCCGATATTTCAGGTTATTAAACATTACCGCCTGCATAAGGGAAAGAAAACGAAAGAGGATTATAGGATTAAAGCCATAAGAACCTAACCTTGGACATATCCACCCGGGCATTGATCTTGCAATCCACACATATGATCATCTTTGAAGGATTACATTCCGGAGGGGTGTCAAGAAATTGCTGCTTCTTTAGCAGACGGTGATAAATAAACCAATGCTGAAAGTATATTAGCTGGCGCCTGATCGAAAATGTACTAATACTGGGGTGGTGGACTTACGGAGAAGGATTGAAGTCTTCAAAGAAGCTAAGGCTTGTGGTACCCGCATTCTTCATCTCAAAGGAAATAGCCTCACCGGCAGGGCACGCGAAGGTGGAGACAGCAAATGAATTACCAGGTGAAATAGTGATATCACCTAGGTCCTGAGAGACAGAGGGGACGTTGTTAAAGGTAGTTGAGGTATCAGCAGCTTTGGAGAGTTTAGCAAAATTAACCTTGCCATCACCACTAAATCTAAAGGATGAAGTCACGAGGTTAGCCTGGCTGGGGAATAGGAAGACCAGACTGCATGTCTTGCCGGAGGTGGACTGGGGAATATCAAAGTTAAATATGGTTGAGATGGTCGATGTCACAGTGCCATTAAATTGAGTACCCAAGGCAGTATTGGGAGACCGTGAGTCGATGGGAATAATGAGGTGGGGGAACTCAAAGTTGCCTGATGACAAGGTGGTAGGACAGCTACTGCTAGCAGGTGACTTGGTTGAAGTCGGAGTGGGCGCAGGGGCGGCGCATGCGTCGGCTGTTAACTGGATGGTTTTACACTGACCGAGAGCGTCGCTTGGAGTGGTGTGGATGTTGAAACCACCATTCTGTCCAGTGTCGCAGGCGATGAAGTTGGAGCTTCCTTGGAAATCGAGCATACCAGACGGGCTAATTGAGAAGCCCTTGGTGGGATTGGCACCTTGATCACACTGAAACTGAGTAGTCGGCGCTAATATATCTGTTAGATTGCAACCTTTTTTCAATTCCTATATACTGCACCACTCACGAGTTAGAATACAGCCACGGCCGCTACCATCAGTAATGGAGGCATCTGGGCTGATACAGAATTGCGCAGTGGGCAAACTGTTGTCGCCAATACGGTTCTGTCCGTCGCTGAGTTGTCCGACAGGGCCCGAAGGACCACCATAGGCAGTGAGGTGGAAGCAACAGGTATTGGTACGGCTAATGAGAGCTTGGGTTCCGGCGGCTAAAACCGCCAAGGTGGTCAAGCTTCTCATGGCGATAAATGAAGGGGTATAGCGTAAAGATTTGGAGATGGCTATCTTAGGCAAGACTGTGGATAGCACAGATTATGAGGCTTCTAAAATGTACACAGGAATCTGTCACAATCTGGGAGCATGTAGGATACTTATGCCGAAATGAAGTGGAGAACTGACCTTTGCTTAGGGGGGATACACATGAGCCTAGACCAACTGCACAGTAGCATATAAAATATAGTCGGCGTCATCATTAACCACTGTCTTAAACTTTCCAGACCTCTACAACCAATGAATGAGATAACAGTCTTGAATAGTGTCACATAAGTTGAGTGGAGTCTAACTTTTGGACTGGACTCATGAGTCGGGCCTCATTGAGTAAAACTCATGACTTGTGAGTACTCATACGAGTAATTTTTATATGTACACAGGAAAGTGGAGCATTTTTAAAAATATTTTTAAATATTTATACTTTTATGTATACTTGTGTGTAAAGATATACTATAAGCATATTTCTATTTATAGATTTATAATGTGACGTCAGTACTCATAAGTAGAGTTTTCTATATATTTTCAACTCTTTATTTTACCTGCTAACTTGTGAGTTAAACTCGTGGCTTGGTTCATTTTAGACTCTTACCCAACCTATGGGCCATGAGTAGAGTCAACTCTCGAGTGAAACTGGACTCGCGTGACAAACTAGATTTGAAGATGATTATAAATAGATCCTGCTGGCTTCGCACACGAAAGACGGTTCTTCCTAAATGCGCCTAGCTGGGATGCGTCCTTGAATGTATTATAAATGAACTGAATCAATATAGTAAAGAACCATAGTTTTTATACAAACTTAATAGTTCTTGTAGGTTACACTTAGAATTTATATATAAGGTATAGGTCCTATTTATAAACCCTTGACTGTTTCCTTTCCAAGTGATTCCCAGCTCGGAGCCTGAGCCCGGGCAGTTCCATTTAGAAAGTAACCTATGTAACTCATAGATTTTCCAGATATATTGGGGCTTCGGGCTAACTATAACCTAGTCCTATCATGAGGAACAAAATAATGGGTTCAGGTCAACAATGTTTGTGGCCACCCAAATCTTGATTCTTTATATATTTATCCATGATATTGTCACGGACCGACCTTCAACACCGTGTCAACGCTCTACCTCAGATCGACGACTGGTTAACCGCCACACGCCTGGAGATTAATAAGCGCTAGAGCTCAATATCTCAGTTACAATTAATCTGTAGACCATAGGTCAAAGAGATCTAGAATAGAGCGCAGAGGCGAAGACCAAATAAGACAGGGGCGAATAACAGTCAAAAATAAATGGTACTTATGTATATATATGTATATAACTTAAATTACCGACCTAGTAGAGGTCAAGCAATTAATTTTTTCTTAATCAAATACATATTATTCAAAAACATACTTCATCCTCTCATTTGCGCATACTCAGCAAATAGCAGTCAAATCGCTTGCTACCAATCGATTCGTATATCAACCACCTCAAGTAACTTATTCGAAGCCGCTTTCAAATATCAAATATTCTTCCAACAGCGCATTAAGGTCCCATAAATCTACTCTTAATTATACTAGTTTAGGGCTTTACCTATAGAGTTTTGACGGAAGATAATACTATTACCCTATTTGGGAAGGTAGGGTAGTATTTTCTCGTAAGTATCGCTAAGTAGTGGCGGTCTTGGTACCAGGTCTGCTTAACCCCACAACACCCCGGCTTTACCTCCACAAACACAGCTGCCTCTAGTCGTCCAAAGTACTAGGCTATAAGACTTGATGGTGATTGGAGATTCTCATTGTCGCCCCTGCCAAGAACCATTTCCACAATCGCCTCTTATCTTCCAATAGTCGCCCAACCACAGCCGAAGGACTTGGCTACCATTATTGCTGTGCCTGATGAATGACGCGAAGGCGCAATATCGTGGAATGGTAAGTAGGATAATATTGAGCTTTGGAACCAGCACAATTTAAGAAGTAGAGTCATAATTGTGTTCTATGGCGAGGACAAGCCGTTGCCAGACGGCTGATAAGTCCTTAACTCAATTGATGATCTTCACGTATATTGTCATTCTTAGAAGCCGGTGAAAGACAGTGCATTACGATGGTTTCATCTTTGTGTAGCCGAACTTTAACCCCACAAACAATTTATCGGAGTTCCTCTGTCAACTGCAAGCCTTGATTCTCGCGTTCTCGTCAATGAGATCTGTTTAATGTCATGATCATAACAAATCAATTTGCTAAAATTCTTCTAACATTCAGTAGGCAAATATTGAGGCATAAATGCTCTGAAAATTACCCCAACTCAAGTCAGATATTTATCATCATCAGCCACATTTGTCTGTGCCTGTGCAATTGCACGGTTACACTACTATAGAAACTACTAACCTAATATCAGGAGTTCGTGTATCTGGAGAAATGACGGAAATTAAGACCCACTGGCTGCTAAATACCTCAATTGACGCGATGCATCCTGTTGGACATTCCCACGTGGCTTCTGCCTAGCTTACAATTGTTATTTAAGTAAACCTTGTACATATCAAAGGTATATAAGGTTGAACAGATCCTGGTCAAATGATGATTCCAGAACATCCAGATTCTGAACTTGCGGGAATCTATCCCTGATTCTAGGCCGTGCGGCCTCATATAACATGGTCAGTGTGGCTATACACTTCCCAAGGAAATGATATGCTGAAAATTATATTTCTAGTTGTACTCTGTACTCACTTTTCTGTCGCTGATCGGCAGTGTCTACACACTCCCATCTGCTGCATCTTCTCCATCCTCCGATAGAACTGCCCGTGTACTCGCACGCCACGAACCGGGCTTGAACAACAACCCCAAGTCAAAGCTTTACGAGACTCGCTTTCCCAACGTAACCTGGGACCAAGATAACTGGGAGTTGTCCACCACACTTCTGGACCAGGCTCATTTCCAGTCCCGTATCCCCATCGCTAATGGTTACCTGGGCATCAACGTTGCAGCCGCCGGTCCGTTCTTCGAAGTCGACGAGCCAGTCAACGGTGATGTGGTTGACGAGTGGCCGATTTTCCAGCGCCGACAGACGTTTGCGACAGTTGGTGGCTTCTTCGACTCTCACCCTACGACGGAAAAAAGCAACTTTGGCTGGTTAAACCAGTATGGCGGCGAAAGTATCATCAGTGGTATTCCCCACTGGAGTGGATTGGTGGTGGAGCTGAGTGATGGCAGCTATCTGGATGCCTCGGTGGAGAAGTCGACTCTGTCTGGTTTCAGAAGCTCGTTTGACTACAAGGGAGGCATCTTCACTTGGGAATATACTTGGACGCCGAGAGATGTCTCCTTTGCCATCCAATATCGCCTGTTTGCACACAAGCTCAACGTCAACCAGGCCGCGGTTCAGCTCCAAATTACCCCATCTGCGGACTCGCAGGTGACGATTGCTAACGTTCTCGATGGCACTGCAGCTGTCAGGACAGACTTTGTCACCAAGGGAAGAAATGCCAGTGCTGGGGCTGTCTACAGCGCGGTCCGCCCGAACGGCATCAATAATGTCACTGCATATCTGTATGCGGGCATCCAGGCATCGAACGAGTTCAAAAATTCCACGGCCTCTCTGCTGCAGAATAAACCGTACGTTGGTGCAAACGAGTCTTCCATCGCTGAAGGTGTGACAGCCAGACTGACAGCCAAGACGACTGCCACTATCACCAAGTATGTCGGCGGAGCCTCATCAGATGGCTTCGCAAACCCGCAGGAGGTGGCCAAGAATGCATTCACTGCTGCGCGCAAATCAGGGTTTGAGTTGCTGCTGAAATCCCACATTGCCGAATGGAGTGTCGTCTTCCCAGATGACTCCGTGGATGATTATTCCTTCCCTGAGAATAGAACCCTCCCCGATGACCCGAATATCATCGAGTCTGCCATCCACGCAGTCGCCAACTCGTATTACCTGCTTCAAAACACAATCGGGGACAATGCACTCGCAACAGTGAACAATGCTCCTATTGACTCCAACAGCATTTCTGTCGGCGGACTGACATCTGACACATACGGTGGGCTTATCTTCTGGGATGCAGAGGTCTGGATGCAACCTGGATTGGTCGCCTCATTCCCCAGTGCTGTGAAGACCATCGCCAACTATCGCACCAACCGATACGGCCAGGCTTTGGCAAACGCGCAGACTTCGTATGTATCATCCAAGAACGCCACCCGCTTTTCCAGCAATGCAGCGGCATTTCCATGGACCTCTGGCCGATTTGGCAACTGCACCGGTACCGGTCCCTGCTTCGACTATGAGTACCATATCGGCGGCGATATTGCCCTTTCTTTCAGGAACTACTGGGCCGTGACTGGTGATACCGAGTTCTTCAAAGAGTCCCTGTTTCCGGTGCATGATTCCATTGCGACCTTCTATTCGGAGCTAGTGACCAAGAATGGATCTGTATATGAGCTCACCAATATGACAGACCCAGATGAATTCGCCAACCATGTGGACAATGGCGGGTACACTATGCCTCTCATTGCGACCACTCTGAATACTACAAACTGGTTCCGCGAGCTGTTGGGTCTCGAGCAGAATGAAACCTTCACTGATATAGCCGACCACATTCTTGTAGGCCGGGATCCCAACTCAGACATCACTTTAGAGTACACCGGCATGAACGGTTCGATCAGCGTCAAACAGGCAGACGTTGTTCTCAATTCATTCCCTCTGGAATACACCCAGAACTATACTTCGAAGAACGCCTTGATCGACATGGAATATGTAGGTATCTACTTTCCTTTACCAGATTATTCATGCTAACCCAGGTAGTATGCCAACAAGCAGTCTCCAGATGGACCCGGCATGACCTTTGCCATCTTCTCCATCGTGGCAAACACCATTGCGCCATCCGGATGCTCGGCATACACATATGATCTGTACACCACTCAGCCCTACACCCGTGGCCCCTGGTTTCAATTCTCCGAGCAACTGCTGGACGATTACTCGATCAATGGCGGATTCCATCCCGCATTCCCATTCTTGACCGGCCACGGAGGAGCAAACCAAGTCGCCCTGCTTGGCTATCTCGGGCTGCGCTTGACCTCTTCCTTCACCCTCTCCATCAACCCGAATCTCCCGCCCCAAATTCCTCATCTCAAGTACCGCACTTTCTTCTGGCAGGGATGGCCCATCACCGCGCAGTCCAACTACACCCACACCACCATCACTCGCTTGTCTGATGCCCTCCCAACCGCAAACCAGACATTCGCCAACGCCCCCATCGTCGTGCACGTTGGCCCTGCAGACAACTTCACCTCGTACTCCCTCCCAACAAAAGGGACAATCACGGTGCCCAATCGCCAAGTCGCTTCGATCAAGACCGTCCCGGGTAATATCGCACAGTGCGCTCCAAAGGTCACGACCAACTCGCCGTACGAACCGGGCCAATTCCCCCTCGCCGCCGTTGATGGCGCAGACACGACGAAATGGCAGCCAGCGCAAGCCAACACATCCTCGCGGATTACGGTCTCCCTCTCGCCCGAGACATACTACACACGCATTTCATCCCTCTTCTTCGACTGGGCATCCGCTCCTCCTCTGAATGCCACCGTGTATTTTCACAACTCGACCAGCTCCGGTTTTGCTACTGACGCTCAGACTCACCGGTTCACCATCGCTCCTGTCAATGTGAGCGCACCGTATAATGCTGCCTCTGCCGCGACAATCACCCCGTACACGGGAAATACTACAAGCGTGACCTTGCCCGATGGATTCTGGTCAGGACGGTACGCTACGCTCGAGATCATTGGGAGCCATGCTTTGGAGAATCCCCTCAACGGGACAGGCGCGATCGTTGCAGAATGGGGTATCATTGCTGATGGGAAGAGTCTGAGAGTATGAGTATATATCTCCAAGTAGATAAAGCCTGAATAGATCAAATAGAAACATCAATAGATATTTATGGATTAAAAGGGAGAGAATCTGTCATTCCTAGATTTGACCAACCATATGCAGATCCTCGGATCCACAATGCCCCTTCTAATTTGCAGAATATACGAATATCTACTAAACCTACATTGGGGGGCGGTTCTTGGCCTAGAAGCTGACAAAACACACATTGCTTAGTTATTGCTTGGACCGTATAGTCAGCTATCAACCTTAACTATCTTTTATGGCTGGACTGCAGCGGGATCTGTAGAATACTCAGCACCAACAGTTATCTTCACTTCCATCATGTGCCATATTCATTCATTCCTAATAACTTGGCAGTAATGGAGCCACAGGCCTAGCCACTATAACAAAGAGCTTGTTTTAAAATAAAATCGACCCACGTTCCCTCTCTCTTGCACCTTCCCTCTTTTCTCTCATCGCCGATTATCTGGGTCTACTGCTACTTCACATAGGTTGAAATAGAAACATCTCTTCTTCCACCATGAGGGGCCAAGTATTGTCAAACATTGGTCTTGCTCTCTCCCTCTCCATCACAGGAGCCCAAGCTGCGTCAGACACCACTGCCCCCGTTGTCACGGACAACCATGATGGAAGAATCTACGAGGCAGCCCTCCTGAACAAGCATGCCACCAGCGTGAGAGGATGGCTCCGTGCGTCGGCTCCTGCTAGTGGCGTGGGTGTCAAGATCCAAGCCGAATTCTGGGGCTTCCCTGCCAACGTCTCTGGACCTTACCGTGAGTTTTGTCATATCGCATGAGTATCTGACCCTAGTACTGACCAAAGCATCCTTCTCTCTTTAGCCTACCATATCCACGTGTCCCCGGTCTCCCAGGAGAATTGCACCACCACTGGTGCCCATCTCGATCCATACATACGGGGTGAAACGCCACCCTGTGATCCAAACCATCCGAACACATGTCAAGTTGGCGACCTGAGCGGAAAGCACAGCCCGATCTACGTTGCTCCAAACGAGCCATTCGCAGTTGAATACACCGATCTTTTCCTTTCTTTGGATAAGAAGAACCCAGCCTACATTGGAAACCGTTCAATTGTCGTCCATGCGCCGAATTCGAGCAGGCTTAACTGCGGGAACTTTGTGCCTCGTGATCATGAATAAGGATGGCATGATGGATGGTAGGTAGTGGTTCTTGGATAGATTCCCATCGACGTGCGCAGCACATGCCCTTGATGACAGTTCAAATACTAATATGAGTTTCTGAAGGCGAAATCAGAGCTAGTCAGCTTCAAACTATCATAGTATCACTACGCCATAGCTAAAACTTCACTCAATGTCATTCTAAATTCTGTTATCTGTTTGGGAATATATATATAAGTCCAAGCCCTGTTGTACCCCAGAAACACAAATGATGCCACTCGATCATTTAGTCGATTCAATGCCGGCAAATACTCTGTACATCAAGCTCTCGTCGTAGAAGATAGGGCCTTTCATGTCACCTTTTATCAGGGTGGCGATGGAGATCTTAGTAAGAGATTATATCTGCGCCAAAGATGCAGTTATCTTGGATCTTTTTAGTACGTTTACGCTATTCAGGTTGCTGAGAAAATCATACCACACGTCACTTCTTGCCTTTGACATCATCAAGTAAAGAAGACATGGTAGATACAAGCGCAAAACAGCAGTCCATACCAAATGCGGAAAATTGTGCCACCACCAGCTGGGCTCGTTGGGACTGATGATTAGTGATGTTACATCTGAGCGGGCGGAGATCAAGTTAAGTTTGACACATGCCATGGATAAACAATGCCGATTCAAGGCGAGATGACAGCTCTACGTCGACGATTGGCGTTTATTTCATTTTCTCGATGTCGTGGTGGTCTCTTTTTAGGTTTAGGGTTATGCCCGGTCGCTCACCTGGTTGAGAAGGTTTGTTGCTGCACGAACCAGGTAGGAAGTTGATGCGAGTAGCGTGGTGTAGAAATTTTACAGTGTATTCATGATGCAAGACACCATGCATGGCATTGAAAAAAGTCCGTCTGATCGCACACTTGAAAGCCATGATTCAAATGTGAGTATTGAATGAAGGTATAACCCAGTGGAAGACTATGATCGCTGTGTGTGATTAGTATGTTACAGCTCTCTCGGTCCAAAGCAACATTGACGGCTTATAGGCCAAGGTGAAATATAAGCGGACGAGCGGCAGTGAACTTCATTTAGAGCGTATGGTTTCTGCAGTCGGTCAGGTCGCCGCCGAAGTCCGGAATAAACCATTGGCAACTGTTGGGGAATTTATACTTGTGCAGTGCGCATGATATAAGCGTTCTTCAAGATGGAACAAAAGTCTTCTAACAAAGATAAATGAATGAGTCCATGAAACCATCGTTCATCAGGACGTTGAAAATCCAGTGAGACAAGTGGTTAGTGCCCGGGATGGAGATTTTACTTATAATGAGCTCGATCTGCTTTCTTCCAACCTCGCCTACCACTTTGCTTATCTCGCCGTTGGCTCTGACACATTTGTGGTCATATGCCACCACGCTAGGGATTATCAAGGCTGCTTACACATATATTCTCCTTGAACTGTCATTCCCGCTTTCAAGAATGCAAGATACGTGCGACAAGATATTCTGGCAAGTCCAAATTCACTCCAGACAGTGGAGACGCTGGCAAAGAAAGTCATTCTGGTATCAGAAACCACCTAGGACGTACATGATGATCCCTGGGACCAGGCCCAGCTTGTCTTAGACCCACAACTATGACGATACACGTCGTGTCGGTGGACTAAGTAACTAGATATAACCCACCTGCGTCATAAAATAAACCTAAGCAAGAATCCTAGCAAGCAGAGGATCACCCACAAGGACATCCATATCCTCCAGTTTCATTGTAATATTCACTTCCCAGGGCACCGTCTCCGTCTCCGTCTCCGTCTCCGCCTTCTCCTTCCCTTCTCCCTCCTCCCTTGGTGCCTTCTCTCGAGCAGGCATGATGATGCAAGCCCTTGGAATAAGAGACAATCCAGCATCAAAGTCCACGATCTTGCCCAGGCAGTCCCCGAAATCAAGTGTGTACGAGTCGAGGTGTCGCCAAGTCGTAACGATCACATTCCCCGGCTTTGACTCAATTTTGCTCCAGTCTTCCAGGTCCGCCACTGTCGCGGAGACACTGTAAGCGAGGGACTCATTCATGGAGCTGAGCTTGCCCCGGAGCTGAAGCGCAAGCTGACTAAGGGCGAGGAGGTCTGCTTCCTCTTCCTTGTTGTCCTCCTGTAATGGCTCAGGCCGCTGGTCCTGTACAAGATGCCGTATCTCACAGTAGGCTGGGTAGTTCATGTTCCCGACAAATGTACCCGGGAGGGGAGGCTGCACGCGCGAGCGGAGATCCACTGTCAATGTAAGACGGGCGTTCTCATCATTCATCCTTCGTGTTTTCGACGGATCCTGGGCCATATCAACAGTAATCCCCAGTATCGCAGTGACTATATCATTACTAGAGATGAACCCTGAGGGCGAGAGGTGCTGCAGAAACTTGCTGCTGCAAGTCTGCTTGAGCAAAGCAATCTTCTCTGGACTGAAAGTAAACCGTCTAGTCTTAACACCAGAGGACATAGCGGCTTCCATGGCAGCCCATTGCTCCGAGGTGATATTGGGGTCGAAGAATGGCGTCGCCAGCCCCAGCGACTGTATGGTCACCTCGGTGTTGCAGCGGCAAGACCACGAGGAGATCTGGTTCCGGAGGTTGATTTCATTCTCCGCAACGCTGGCTGTTGTAATGGCCATCCCGGTAACATTGGGTGCGGATTTGGCGTTACAGCACTCGGCGAGCGCCCGTAGAATCACTCCAGCACCTGTGCCATCAAGGGCAAAATGCAGAAATGACATGACATGACCACGATGATTCTGTTTGGAAAGACGTTTGCCTGGAATCGGACAACGGGGCCTTGCTGGGACGGCGGGATAAAGCACGGCAGAGGAAGATAGGAGTTGATGGGTAGAGTGTGCGATTTGTCGTCGTGATCGAAGGATTTGACGTGCAGCATGGGAACTGCCTCCAGTGGACCGGATGGTGCGACAATATGCCCTCTGTTTTGGGGGCCGGAGGGTTCAGTGCTGTATATCACATCGCCTGCCAGCCACGGGAAGGTGGGAGACCAGTTTCTTGACGCCATCGTGTACGGTTTGAAGAGCGGTCTTTGTGTCTGGCGTGTTGAAGTACAGCATATAAGGGAGATAGAATTTGGGGAGGGTGTGGTCGAGCGGGGTGAGGGCGATGGCAGCGGGGGGTTTCGCCATGATGCAGTGTAGAGGCCAGAGAATTCGACTATTCAGGGGTATTTGACACAAACCAGGAACATCAGGAGGTGTTGGTCCAGCAGGATCAGCCTCGCTCTTTTGTAGGGACGAACTGATTAGTCACACAGCAGGGGTCCTCTATAGGATATCCTACTAAAACATCTAGTGTTTTCTTTCACTGTTTACCCAATAATCTTAGCATTACCTATTATGAACAAAAAGGAAAGAGAAATACTAGTTAGCATCATATCTCATCAATATCGCCAAGGTAAGAATAATGGGGTGATGAACTAGTATAAATTTGATTCGTGAGTATTGCCACCAAGCTAGGCTTCATCGAAGGGCCAGAGCTGGACATTCTATGGTTGAGGCAACAGCCAAAGAACATTTCAAAGGGCCATCTAGATGGGGATCCAACTCGAGAGGGAGAGGAGTTCGTGCCGGAGAAATTTTGGGATGGACGCCATCTCAACCCCGTCTTTCTGAGATTCTTCCCAGTATTGTCGATTTCCAAGCTGCGAAGTCTACAATCGAAATGATTATATCAGGCAGGGACTCTTTGACTGTTAAAATTACTCCATAGAATATACAAGGCCGGTTGGGGGATGTGTCATTGTATTGACCTTAAAACACGCCACAAGCAATGAGATGCTGCTTATTAAGCCAATGCAATAACTTCAATCTCCAAATCTGCCGGCTTCGGCAGTCCACTCACTTCGATGCTGGTTCTGGCTGGGTTGTGAGGGAAATACTCCTGGTACACTTTATTGAATTCATCATAGTCTCGATCCAGATGCACAAAGATAATCTGATCTGTCAGTACTGCACTGACATGGTAGAAATGAGTGTATCTTACATTCGCTTTGACCACCTTGTCTAATGATGATCCCGATGCTTCCAGAACGCTCTTGACATTCTGGATCATCCTGTGGCTCTTCTCCATCACCGAAGTGTGGGTCGGGAGATATTCGCCCTTGGGATTGGCAGCGACCTGGCCTGATACAAAGACGAAACCGCCCGCTTTAGCAGCAGGTGACTGAAGATCGGTTAGTTCGACCGAGTATTATTCAATTAATCTTCTACATACGTATGGCACACCCGCGCGGGCTATCACAGGTTAGTGTTGCTTTGAAGGAAGTATGTGTAGCAACTTACGAGGCGAACAGTCCTTGCCAAAGTGCGTTGTTATCTTGGGCGATGCATGCTGCGTCATGACAGAAAAGGATCTCAAAGGTGGACAGATGATGAGGGGCATCTGGCGACACCATAATTGCGGGCAAGGACGGGCCTTGGGAATGGCACGGGTGATGCTGAACATTCTCACGATACTATGATATATGATATGGAATTTAGAATGGTGAATGTTGATTTGAATGCAGAAACAACATCGCTATACATACTGTATAAATGGTCAAAGATCACCATCGGATCCCATTCTGGGGTCGGAACGCCATTCCGCTGGCTTCCCCGCGTAGATTCGGCCTCCGTAAATCTTTCAATTATGATTAGTATCTATTATCTATCATTCATCATAATATTCTATTAGAAAACCATAATATCCGACTGCAGTTGAAGTGCCCGGTTGTATTATATATTCAGACTACTATCGTGACCAGTACACCAAAAATCCCCATAACCTCATCCATTCAGGCATCATCCTATCAGAGTTACTCCTATGACTAGGTAATGTAAATTGAAAACACTTAAAACCAGGCGAGACATTGAGGACACCGGAGGACCGGTCCGACGAATGCTCTTTCCGATGTGTGCCAAGGCAATGACTATCCACTCTCGTACAGATACACCTTATGCATGCAGTCGGAAGACACAGCCGACAGTCAAGATGGGGGATAAACAACTATCTACTTGAGCCACGCAGCCACACAGTCCTTGACTCCATTCCAAAGCCACTCCTCATCCCTTGTCGCTCCATCAAAGCCATGCTCACCTTCCCTAACAACCAACTTGACGTCGAGCTCCGGATCCAACTCTTCCAGCTTCCCCTTTAATTTGTAGCTGCCTTCGATAGGGACGACAGTATCCCCAAGACCATGCAGTATGACGATGCCCCCACGTGGAAACCTTTCTCCCCTGTCCAGTCTATCCAGAGGGAAAACTCTGGGATTATCGGGTAGAAACTGGGACAGCAGGCCGTGTTGAAAGGGAGAGAACATAAGTGTCGCCCGCTCCAACCGTGGATCAGCAGAAACAACAACCTTCTTGCCAGTCTCGGCTTCGATGGCCTTGACCTTGTTCATATAATCATCGACCAGATTGCGTGGAGAAGACGGCATGTTGAAAATGACCTTTTCGAATTGTCCGGTGTAATGCGGTGCTTTCAAATCCAGCGAGGGATATGCTGCTGTCACGGCTCTAATTTTGTCGGGATGGTTCAAGGCGATCTGGATACTCAGATAGCCTCCAGCACTATCTCCACCAGTGAGGATCCGATCCAAGTCTGCCTTGAGAGTGCCGCTGGTCTTTTCCTCCAGGAAGGACCCTAATGACTGCCGTATCCAATTCCAATGATCTTAAATGTCCTCAAGGGTATCTTCGATCGATGACTCTGGCAAAAGTCGGTAATTAGGGCTGATGATAATGGCACCGTAGCGTTCTGCCAGTTCGATATACCACGGGTTGAAAAAGCCTGGGAAAAGACTGGAGCCGCTGAAAAAACCACCACCATGATAGCGCAGAAGAACTGGGCGGGGAGTTGATGAAGTGAGGCTCTTGGGATAGAGCACATCGGTGGTTATCTCGTGGTCATTGACGGTTTTGTATGTCGTCGTTAGAATGTTGAGGTTTGCGAATCGGGATGTGTCAAGGGGATTGAAAAAGTCCATATTGACCCATTTGTCGAATCCAGACAGTCAAAACAAGTGGATGAATATCTTCTGTTTTAATTCCAAAGACGAAAACATCTGGATTGCCTGTTTTGGCGAAGACAAGGGTCGGGTGGGCCCTGATGCCTCGTATAGGTGGATACTACTTCTGGCCAATGGCAGCACCGAACAGCTTCTGCCTAAAGACTAAACGATTAGTAAACATCATCTTCAGCTGCTTTTGTGCATAATAGATGCACAATGGAAACATAAAACAAAAGGCAGCAGAGTCAAATTCCGTCGAGAGATGATCAAATAATCCAACCGTGGCGGGGCTCGTCTTGTCCATCAAATCTTGATCCTCGAATGGCAGGGATTGTCGATCCTGATGACACTGTGGGCCGATCGTTCAGCTCGGCTCAGCCGCACCCACACGCAAATATAAAGACATGTGTCTGCCAGAAAAAAGAATCATCAGCAAGACAAACAGTATAGACCAACATGGCCACTCAACCCAGCCGCTTCGATCTCCCCGGCCATACCTTGCCGTTGAACTTCAAACCGGCAGTAAGTCTCCTCACTCGTTTATAGAGTGGCCGACTGACTCGTCCAGGGAGGGCTGTTTCCCAATGCACTTGACTACAGCGATGTTGAGAATCGCACCGTCGAGTAAGAACTACCATATTTCCCTCTATGTCTTGTATTAACCAGTCGTAGGGCCATCTACACCCGTCCAGAGCTTGTGATGATGCAAATCATGGGCGCCATTATGGACAAGCCGAACTGGGAACAAAAGGTACGTTCGTTTCTCATCATTTCAGGATCAGCAACTCATCCACTCAGGTATTCGACAATACCATCACATCCAAATGGCGCGATGAGATGGCCAACGGGAGCGAGGACGTCACTCCCAAGATGATCGACTGGATCCTGCAGGAACTGAAATGCAAAGCAGAGATTCTGCAGAAAGATGGCCTGGTCCGTGTGTTTGACCATGGAATTGTCACGTCGGAGGAAGCGATTCCATCTGAGTTGCAGCGCGACCTGAAGGATGCCGTTCGTCCTCTGGAAGATGTCCCAGAAACAGAAAAAGATTACCATCCCGGATCGGACAACAAAGTTGTCGACTTGGTGCACCCCTCGCTGTTCCCAGTGATTTATGGAAAAAGCAGAATTCTCACAGACAGAACGACGGATCGTGACAGCTGCCTGGCTAGCATCGCGCAGGGAGAGACTCTTGCAGTGCCCCCGGAAGACCAAACAAATATCCCCGAGTATGGCCAGCATCAATTCGACTTTGAAAGGGAGGACTACCAGGCGAAACGGCCGTACAGCCGCAAGTTCCAGTGGCTGCCGTGTGATGTTGCCTTTACAGACGACGATGGCTGTCGCGTTACATCGTATATCAACAACCTGCATCCACGTCGCCACGAGAAGCTCTACACAGTCATTGAAAAGGTTCTCGCCAGGACAATTCCACTGTGGAACGAGACTCTCAGCCCCGTGAAAACGGAGACCCCCAGAATTCCGTATCCAGCGGTTGTATATGACCCAACCGAGCAGGAGCCCCAGCCAGCAAATGAAGCCGAGGCGGAGAGCGACGCGTTCTGCGAGAGACTCGACGAATGGGAGAAGAACCGCACCATCTTGATGCCGGAGCCAGGCGACTTTTCGGCATCCAAGATTCTTCCTGCCGAGCGTCTCAATCTCCGCGAGAAGTTTGGCGATAAGGGTTTGCAAGTGATTGTCAAATTGGCGACGATTGAGTTGAGCCCTGAAAAGCCCGAGTACGGAGGCGGATCGTGGCATGTCGAAGGGCAGCTGGTATGTTATTCAGTCCATATTCGAAAACACCGACTGATCTGTATAGAACGAGCACATCTGCGCCACGGCCATCTACTACTACGACAGCGAGAACATCACCAACAACACCCTCGCCTTCCGCCACCGCGCCGACTCGCAGTATGTCCAGCAGGTCGATTACCCTCAGAACAGAAACGAGTATCTCTACAAGGTGTTTGGTTTTCCGCCGGAGGTTGAGGTGTGGTACGATACCCAGGTTACGCAGAATCTGGGGCGTGTGTCGACCCATCAGGGCCGTCTGCTCACCTTCCCCAACACCATGCAGCACCAGGTGTCGCCCTTTTCCCTGGCAGACTCATCGAAGCCAGGCCACCGCAAGATCCTGGCATTCTTCCTGGTGGATCCGAATCTGCGTGTCATTTCCTCGGCCAACATTCCTCCCCAGAGTGCGGATTGGGCTGAGGGCAATGGCGATTCGCTGATGACCCTCGACCAGGCCAAGGAACACCGACTGGAGTTGATGGAGGAGCGAAAGACAGCAACAGTGCAGACAAATGGAATCTTTGAGACGGGTGAATTTGGATTGTGCGAGCATTGATCTGCGTGTTGAGATGGAAGTAAATACATTTATAGCAATAGTCTAATATTTATTGTCCGCCATATTGGGCAAAACCGACGATCCGGTGGGTTAAGCGCCCCTAGCCCAGTGCCAAGATTAATTCGAATCCAAATGGTCATTGGGCGCTCAGCCCGTGCGCAGCCAACACTTTCCAAGCCAACGTGATATAAATACTACGGCCTTGTCCATCCTCGATCGATAAGTTTTTTTGGTACGGCAGCAACTGACTGCACATCTATATATAAAACCCACGGGAAAAGGTCTGATATTGCTTTTTCATTCCTTTTTTGCACTTGCCATCCATGATTGACCATTTATTAGTGATCACCATGCCAACCAAAGCATACATTGCTGTCTATATTGGCGACCCGGTTGATTTCACAAAATATCGTCATACAGCCCTTTTTTTCGAATTTCCTTCCTATTCACTCCTCATGCATATCACTGGGGCCCAGGGCTTCTTTGAATTTCAGAAACAGGAGGATTACGACCCCAGAAACAGCCGTAAACTCGCAAGTCTGATCAAAGTGGATGACATCTCAGACTCATTCACACCGACCTCTATCGAATCAATCGTTTCCACAACCCCGATCAGAAATGGGCGTGCAGACAGAGATTGGAATTGTCACAACTGGGTGGGAGAGGCTCTTAATCGATTAATAGAAGCTGGTTCCTTGGAATTCTCAAAGCGAGAAGCGGCAGTCGATAAAATGATAGATATATGTATGGAAGCTCGCCATGAAGAATAAACAGCGGTATGTCTTGTATTAAGGCGGCTACGAGGACGAAGTAAGCCAATTGGCACTTCTTTAGATTCATTCTCTACCCAGGCAAGCAGCCAATATACTTCAGCTTCGAGGACAGGATACAGCGATCTTGAAATGTTTCTGTGGTCATACTTGTGAATGTTACGTCGGTTAGTCGAATTATGATGACATTGGAATACCATTAAACCTTTCATTATCTGCACACTAGGACCGGAATTTCTCTCAGGTTCGTAGCATGAAATTAAGAAAGGTCATACCAATATACTCCTTTTCGTACCGAGGCGGAAGAATTTGGGAGAGATATTCTGGCCAATCTGGCACGGAATTCAACTCGCGCATTGCCTTGACGTATTCCCAATATTCAGGGTACCATCCAGAGTCCTCCCAGTCAATGATGGCCGTCACATGGCCTTGGTCATCAACAAGTACGTTGCGAGGTGCGAAGTCGGCATGCGTGAAAACAATTTCATGGTCATTATCAAGAGCATGCTTTGCATAATGTCGCAAAAGGTCTGGTATAGATCGAGCAATGTCTCCCAATAGAAATTCATTGAATTGCTGCTCTGTGTCGAATGGGCCCCCGACAAGAGGCCCATATTTGCCTGCTATCACTGGCCCACGATCCAATGCGCCAATATAAGATCCTTTCAACTGGCGGAGTTCACACATGTAACCACGTAGCTCTTCCGTTACACAGGCCTTTTGGTTCGAATCCATATTCTCCCAGGCATCTTCGAGTGTCTTGCCAGGCACAAAGTCCATCACAATTTCAGTGACTCTTCCATCTTGCCATCGGACATCGTGTACGTTCGGCACGGGTATTGAGGTATTGGCAGCGATGAACCGGAGGGTCTCAGCTTCGTGGACACGCAGGTTTGGGCCATCCTTGATGACTTTGTCGCCGATTTTGGTTACTTTGCGCCTGGCTAGAGAGTGAAGAACGTCGCCCTCTGGGATTGTTACAATTGACGTCAGCTTGAGGCAGTGTTATAAGAGCGGTATAGATATTTTACCGGCTTTGGACATCATGAATAGAGTAAAGTATGTCTTGACAGATTCATGGCGAGCCTTGAATTGGCCAAGTCCGCGCCGTGGCAGATGATAAGAGGAGAAGAGGAGAAGAGGGGAGAAGGAGAGGGTGAGGGGAAACAAATACGGCAAACCAGAACAGCCAAAGGTGCGGTCTGCATCTTATCTTATCTGCTTCTCCAAGTAGCCATGAGGGCATAGGGCATAGGGCACAGGGCTGGGTTGTCTATTCAAACGGAAATGGCTGCTGCAATGATGCTACCCTTCGAACCATCCTGTCTCATCTAATTATACAGCCAGGAATCAGGGCCAACGGGTGGATCACGGACAAACGAGTTTCATCAGTTGGATAGGGATATGTAGTTATTCGGCGGTATCGAGTATTCAAGACGATTTCCTCCTAAACTGAGATCGACTCATCCCCAGTGGATTTCTTATCAATCGCGTCTACCTGAATCAGTCATTGACTATCTCCTCCTCCTGATTCATCTTCCGTGCTAGTACCATCGATCAACTGTTGATATTTCTGTCTTCATAACACCATTACCGCCTCAATTTCCGAAGGTTCCTCTTTTTCACCAACAACTATGCCATTTATTGAACTATGCTACCTACTTACTGCCAAGATGATCGTCGATGAAACAGGGTCGACTTATCAATCTCCGGCACTACTACCCGTGCCAGACTAGACCCTGCATGTAGGCTATGACGGCCGATGGAGGCGTACTATGGCCCGTCTTTATGTCGGCATTGACCCGGTTTCCACATCACCATCTTATATAAACAGGTAATCCGCATCAGGAATAATCACCATCATCCTCTACCATCCTGCATCGAAATGGCTCTTCTCCGTACCATCTGCGCTGCCACTGCCCTGCTGGGCGTCTGCCATGCTGCTGCCCTCCCCGCCAACGTCCAGCGGCTAGAGAACTGGCTGAATGACATCGCCCCCAGTGCCATCCCCATCAACCCCTCCGCTACTCCCTCCGTGATTCCATCCATCCTTCCCTTCTCTTCAAGCCCCCCAGCTTCGCCAAGCGCTGTGTCCCCGAATACCCAACCTCCTGTGGTTCCGGATATGTCAAACGAGACATCCCTGAGAAGCGATGCGTGCTCGACGACCAACATCTTGTGACTCTGGCTCCATCAAAGACGATGTTCCTGTGAAGCGCTGTGTTCCTGATGATCCGATTTCCTGCGGCTCTGGATCGGTCTAATTGGCCATGGCTAATATAGGAAACGGCAGATATGATGTTATGGGTGGTATTGTTAACATGTTATAAATTGTTCTATACATGGCTATGTGACATCCAGTAAAGTACATGAAGTAATTATTATCCTCCATCGATTATATTATCTTCTATTTTAACAAGCGAGTTCCTGTTTGGGTTAGTATAAATCATTCTGTATAGCTGGATACGACTCACGCTTGCTAATTTACTGTTTGCGCGAATTCGTGGTCCATACAAGACCAAAACCCATGGAACCAGGGTAAGAAGAGTGCCCTATCACTGTTAATATACTTCATGCACACGAGATAAACAACTTACAATCCCTCCAAGAAGACTGGACGCACCAGGAAAGCCGAGTTTGATAAACATCGGATTGGCAACAAGCAGAAAGACACCACCAAGCAGATTCCGGCCTATGTCATGTTAGAAATCACTCTAATATACAAGATGAAAACATACAGCAAGACTGCGCGGCAATGGCAGAGCTCGCATAGCGATGGTATGTATCAGCGAGATAGTTGAACACGGCCAGATACACCGAGAAGATGCCCATCGTGGCGCATCCCAGGCCGAGTGTAGGCACAATCCAGTGAATCGAGGGAGACGAAGTCCATCCAAACCAGAATAGGCCGATGGGCATGAGAACTGCCTCTCCACAGACAAAGTACAGTCTGGCCTCGGCTGTTTTGGGCAGGATCCCAAAGTGAGCGGCAACCTTCTCCTGGTAGATGCTGGCGACGGTGATGATGATGACTCCCACACAGATTGCTGTTTCATATTAGCCGAGGTCCATACAAGAAACACTCCCACCCACCCGTGTAGACCGCCCCGCTTTCCTGAATGTTGAAGCCATGATTAGTGCGAAACACCAACGGGACAGAGCTGAACTGCAGATAGAGAACAGCCCAGCTGAAGGCGGCCCAGAGCGAGAAGAAGAAGACGACTGGTTCGGTGACGAGCATGCCTAGGGGTATAAGTAGGATGCAGCTGCACCAGATGGGATGGACTCACGGAAAGGGCGGTAGCACGAGACACCAACCATCTGGACGAGAGAGCTTCGATCCTCGTCGCTTTGAACCTTCCATCGGATGCGCTGGATTTCTTTGCCTTTGGTGATGACGCCAAAGTGCCCTGCCATCTCGAGGCGTTCGTAGTATCGGTTCAGGACATAGGCTTTCTTGCTGAGAAGAACACTGCCACGCGTCTCTTTGAAGCAGAGAACGATGAGAATGACAAAGGCACCAGCCACAAAGGCATGGGAATAGTAGATCCAGCGCCAGTTGGTGTGGTGGACAATGACACTCGAGATCAGCGGTGCGAGGCCAGTGCCGAAGATGGCAGCCCCAGAGAACATGGCCATCGGCGTGTTTCGATCCTCTGCTTCGTAGAAATCGCTGATGACGCCGCCTACCATGGTGGCGAATGATGCTATTGACATTAGCATGCGTATCACATCGATGGAGGATCGCTTACATGCACCGACGCCCTGGAATAGACGGGCAACGAGGAGCCCTGCAAAGGAACGTGTTCCTCCACAAGCCACCATACAAGCTATCTCTATTAGTATATTGTTCTATTACAAGATAGATAGATCCTACCGGTAAACACAATGCCACTTCCGATGAACACCGGTCGCCTTCCATTGATTTCTGAAAATGGTGCCAGCACCATCGGAGCCAGAGCAAAGCCTACGCAGAAGACGGTGACGCCCAGATTGTATACAACCTCACTGATCCCCCATTTCTTGGTCAGCTCGGCTGATGCTGGACTGATCTCGCCCGCTGAATATCCAGCGATCGCGGTCGAGCAGCAGGAGATCCAGGTCATCAGGGTCTTGCGCCAGTTTGGCCAGAGAAAATGGAGACGTGTATTCTTTCAGATTGGGGGCTTTCGGGGCTGAAAGCTGGCCAGGAGCAGGAGGGGATGTGATCGATGGAGTGGGAAGAGGCGTGTCGAGTTCGAGATAGCGATACTGGATCTTCTGGGTCGATGGATCCTTCTCGTTCATCTCCAATTGCATTCCCAGATCCTCGGTGGAGTAAAGCGGAGTATCTTGGATCTGACGGCTCGACATGTCGCTGGATCTCAGACACTTTGCTGTCAATAGCGTGAGTGGAGTTTGGCAGCCAAATCAATTTATAGGATCGACCGTCTTTGTTTGGCATACCATAATTAGGTTTGACTGGAAGGGATGCGGCTGGGCGTGAGACATGGCGATTCTGGGATTTAGATCGGCCTCGAGTTGTCATGAGCTGACGACACTCGGAAAGGTTATACAAAGCCGTGGAAGATCCCTTTCTGGCAGAAGGACAATATTGCCATTTTGAACATGGAAGTGTAGATATACAAATGGACTTTTTGGTCGCCAAGAACACCTTGCAGGTTGATTGTACGAAGTTGGATAGTCGTAGAGATGGAATATCATGTGTATATTCTAGAACATGCCATCTTCTATGCTATATCAACATTGAGGCTCATGAGTCTATAGACATACATACATATAGATATCCATCGAGAATGACGGGTCATTTTTCTACGCTTTGGAAGTTTATGACTTTCTCCATCCAGCACAAGCAAAGTATCACGGGCCGGTCCGATTCCACAACAAACCTACACCATGAGAGTTGCATCAATAGAGTTGGTGAAAGGTAAAATAGGTTGATAAAGACAGTACGGTGGGTTACTGGTGTTATATGGCACCAGCGATTGGCATGATGTCATTGAATACACACTGATCTCCAGTGGATCTTCATAATTGCCTGATTTGGCATACTTGGATCTTCGCGATGACACCATCTTGTCAGCTTGTATGACATTGGCAACCACCGTGAGACGTCAGCAACTACATTTCCCAACCAGTTAGACGGCCTGCTCTGGCATGTTCTAACTCTTCTCTATTTGACTGGTTCACAACATCGCCGGTTGAGCACCTCATCTCAGCTCGCCATGTCCTGCCAAGCAACAGGCGGTCAAATCGTGTAATTCCAAAAAGCCAACTTCCTCGCTGGACATCCCAGTTTGATAAAGCCAAGAGCTCTCCAGCGAGGGAGGGAGGGCTATGGTTCCATCGTCCGTCCTGTCCGTCTGTTCCATTCCGCCATCTGCAAGGGACGGCGGACCGCGATCCACTGCGATTTGCTCCCCCAAGACATGCATACCGGTCTCTCCGGGGGGAAATGAGATCAATGGCGCTATTTGTGCGCCCATCGAGCGGCTGAGTTGACGTGGGCTGACGAGACGAAGGGATGGCTTCAGGGTCGGTTTCATCAGGGCGCGGCATGTGACGACAGTGGTGATGCCAGACACGCAGACGCAGTCCATGAGGCTTACGCGTTTAAATGCCCCTGGTCTTGGTGTTTCGAGATCCACACGTGCATCGCAGGCGCATCTGAGGCTGGCACGAGGCGGTTTCTGCTGCATTTGCGAATATTGCAGCCCCGGACCAAGAATAAGCGGTATTCTAGGAGTCTTCTACACACCCCTTTGGGTTCTATCGGATGCAAGGGATCTGGGCAATTAGCAAGAGCCAAGAACAACCTCCAGCCAAGAGACGAGTAGATCAGTTCATCTCCAGCTGTCACCATCTCGATTGACACGGAGAGAGTCTCGTCCGGAGGCCTATATATACCCATCCAATCCGGCCGTACTGTCTCAAACATCAATCGCATTCACTCTTTTGAATATTCCATCCTTATATCCACTTCCACCCTCTCATGTCTTTGAAAATGCCCCAATTTGTCCCCCCTTCCCCGGAAGATGTCGTGATTGTCGGTGGTGGTGCCAGTGGTCTGGCCGTTGTTCTCCAGCTGGTTGAGCGTCTTCGAAATGGAAAGACCGTGAAGAAAGTGACGCTCGTCGATAAGAACAGCATTGCTGGTCCTGGACTGGCCTATTCCCAGGACTGCGCCGGTACTATCCTCAACATGCCCAAGCAGACCATGGGCCTCTTTGCCAACAACCAAAACCACTTTAACGAATGGCGTCAAGATCCAAATCTGGATCTATACCCCGCACGAACAACATATGGCGAGTATCTTCAGGCCATGTGGACCAAGACCGTCCAAGACGCCGAGCAAATGGGCGCCAGGTTCTCCTTTATCGCCGATGAGGTCGACGATATCGACCGTCTCGACGATGGCACATTCTCTCTCAGCTTCATGGGCAAGACAAAGAAGATGTCTGCTCGGAATGTCGTGCTGGCCATTGGCAACTTCACCTCTGTCGTCAACACTCATCTGCTCAACATCCCCGGCTTCTTCCCCTCGCCCTGGCCTACAACCGGATTGAAGACCATCCCAACAGACGCCCCCGTCATCATCATTGGATCCCGTCTGTCTGCTATCGATGCTGCGACGAACCTCCAAAGCAATGGCCACCAGGGCTCCATCACCTTCATGTCACGCAGTGGCTGTCTGCCCAAAGTACAAGGCCCTGCCATTCCCTTTCCCCGTCGCCACAACCTCTACACCACCGCCAGACATGCGCAGGCCCAGGCCGACAATGGAGGCTCATTAGCCCGAATCATCAGCGATGTCATGGAGGAGATTTCCCAAGTCACCGGCAACGACTGGAGATGGCTGTTGCAGACACACGAATGCCCTCTCGAAGAGTTTGAAGCCGATCTTGAATCTGCCCGAGCCGGTACTGTGGAATGGCAGACGGTTCTGAAGGCCACAGCTCCCATCGTGGAGCGATACTGGCGCTCGCTGGAGACTCACGATAAGAAGCTGTTCATGGACAAGTTCTACAGTTCCTGGATGCGATACCGTCACGGAACGCCTATCCAGAATGCAGAGAAGATCCTCAGGATGATGAAGAAAGACCAGCTAAACGTCGTCAAAGGCAAGGATGTCCAGTGGAATGGCGAGACCTTCATCGCAAAGACTTCCTCTGGTGACATCAAAGCGCCGTATGTCATCGAGGCCACTGGCCAGGAATGCCGTGTCGCTCAGATGCCATCGCCATTGATCCAATCTACCCTTCGAAAAGGCCTCGCCACTCCCCATCCATTCGGCGGTCTTGAAGTCGACTTCGACAACCTCCGAGCCTCTCCCGGCCTGTACGCCATCGGATCTCTCACCCAGGGTACTCACTTCTACGTCAGCTCGGTCGACCGCATCGCAGATCATGCCCGACGGATGGCTGATGAGCTGACCGGAGAGCCTCTGGCACGGTCCATGCACGTTGCTCTTTTCCTCGGTGGCGATGCATTCTCCCATCTCATGGCCAGCAAGTTGGTTCCCCAGATCCTCGCTGAAGGCCACATGCCGTTTGTCTTCCTGTTGCCCTCAAACAAGTCCAGCACAAAGAACTCGTCCTTCCGTGAGCATCAACTCGCCTTTTTGGAGCAGTCTCTTATGAAGCAGCACGTCATCCCCTTCTTGAATGATACCCCAGGGAAGAACGCTGCCCATCTCACTGTCGAGAAGCTAAAGTCCACCTATGGCATTCTCGTCCAAGAAGTTGATGATCGTGTTTCGGCCACTCTGGAGAAGCATCATGTGGATGTCGGTCTATCTCTGCAGTGCACCCACAGCCAGACCCTGCCAAAGGACATCGTCAACTACTTCTCCTCGTCGCGAAGACTTCTCAATGTTCATCTTACCGTTCCACCCACCATCACCTCTTCGTCCAAGCAGCCAACTGAGTCCTCCCCATACTGTCTGCACGACGTCCATGACCACTGTGATCAGATCCAGAAGGATCTCAGGTCACTTTCCTTGGAGTACTCCAAGCCGATGCTGCACTACAAGAACGACACTTTTGCCTCTGCCGTGGAGTTGGCCATGAAGGCAATCGACCATGTCTCTCGCGGAAAGGAGATTCCAGAGACATTGAAGCCAAAGCAAGCCAAGCAGAATGGATCTGTAAAGGAGACTGGAAAGGTCCAGGCCAATGGCTCCACCGCAGCAGACGTTGAGAGCCTGGTCAACATCATCGTCAAGTCGTATGCATCGCCTGAGGAGCAAGGGATCTTCCACGCATATCTGTCGAAAGTTGTCAAGGAGTGGCACGAAGAGAGTTGTCGAGGGAACTGTGTGATGCAAAAAGTCGTTGTTTGATTGTTTGATATTCCAGTTTATTTATATTTATATTCCTTTTGTTTGGGATACCTAGTCTGATGATAATGAGTGCGATTACTATTAATCTCATATAAATATGGCAGTTAAATATGTTATGAATGATATTTTCTATTAATATTACATATATCTGTTTCAATATAGGACTAATGGTAGATCTTCGGAATTATAGAGAAGCATGGAGAATTATTAGCATTACATGCACTAGACCAATATATTAGTTACCCAATATCAAATATTATCGTAGGAAAGGTATTGGTCAATGATGTAGCCAGATTACACTATCTATATATAACCATCTTAAGGAATATCTGACTTATATATAAACCTATAGATCCATGCCAACGTCCCATCTACGACATATATTTCGACTGGTCTATATTATCCTGGTCATAGAGATCTTCACACAATAGCGACGTACCTGATGAGTTTGCTAGGCTGATATAATAGTGACTGTATAGTTTGGTGTTGAAAATGCCATGATATGTATCACGCATCTCACTGGTATTCCACTGGCATACGAAATACTATTCCTGTGAATACATCATTCCTGTCGTAGAGAATTCAGATATTGTAGTGTTGTCAAGACATGATTCTATATTTTGACTATGTATGAGGTAACTTATATCGAAAGGCCTGTACAGGTCTACGGTATCTACTATGTTAAATGTCACTACCAATGTAGTCATAAATTAGAAGGTAGAGAACTTGATTGACGAGCTTTCTTGGCTGCTACCCATACATAATTCGTAATCTGTCATGTCCTCAATAATATCCACGATCGCAACGTATTCACAGAATGTTCTCAAAGTAGGTGGTCATCAGGTCCTCCTTGACGGGGACGGCAACAGCCTTGAGGGCCTTGTGGGCCTCGCAGTCGGTGTCATAGTACTTCATGTCGTCCAGCGAGTCGAAGGTCATCTTGACCGACAGGTTCCAGCCCTGGTTGCGAGCATCGTCGTACGAGGCGCCGACGGAGGCGTTTCTGATGTAGGGCTTGCCGTCCTGAAGGGTCAGTAGGTATATATTGTAGACGAGAATGGAGCATACCTTGGTGGCAGTCTTGGCCAGGACCTTGAACTGCTCGAGGACCTTGGAGCGGTCGTCGTTGGAGGGGATCTTCATGAGGGTAACACGTTCGATGGCAGGCATTTTGGCGGTTGTTGGTTGTTTGGTTGGTTGGAAGTGATTGAAGGAAGAGATGGGAGATGATGATGGAGCAATTCTGTCGACGAGGAGGGCCTTTAAATAATCATCCAGGCGCTCATCTGGCTGATAAGAATGACTATATTCGTATACAGTGATATCATAGATAATGATTGTCGCCAGCTCAGTCGATGGCACACGAATACAGAATGCACATCCAACTCATCCAAGCCAGGTGGCTGATGCCAAGCAGAGGCATTCTAGTGACCTCACTGGCCTTGACTGTCCTGCGTGTGGGAATGAGTTGTCGTCGAAAGCAAGGAGATAGCGAGTGCATTTCCCTTCGAGTCGTTGTGAATCCCGCCCCTCCAGTGCATGCAGGCTGTATGCACGAGCTAGACTTGCATCAATGATTATGCAAGGCATTAATTAACGGTGTATCTGGCTTGGTCAGAGTTAAAGGTGTAGAGTGAGGAGAAGTTGAAACAGACGAGTCGATCATTCTGGAGAAAAGATCCCCAGCTTGGCAGGATGTCGTTGGTGGAGCCGGAATCTTGATGATCATCCTGGATAGGAATATGCAGTGACACTCGGGCCAAGAATGGCATGCATCTTGCGCAGGATATTACATCACGCTGCAGATCACCAAGTCTGGAACGAAGGGGGTTGTCTAAAATAATGTCGATCGCGTCGAATCTTGTTTTGTCAACAGGTGCATCCAGCGGTGTATATATACCCAACGACTGTGATTTCTAGCAGAAGCGATATAGACACATCCATAGATCTTGATTAGATCATGATCAGCCGAATATTATATCACACTGGCCTGATTAGACAATCGGGGTTTATTATCAGACCCGGAATGGACGTATCCACTTGATTCAGATTATACGGCTTTATTGCATTGAGATGAGGACAAGCTTGTCCCAGTTATCTCAGCTGTAGAGTAGCATTATTGCATATGATATTTGCAAGTGGAATCATGGAGTATCATTATATTATGCATTTAGTAATAGCATGTTATAGGCTTTGATCCCCGTAATGCATGCACAGTCATCAAGTATATATGCCTAAGGTGAAGACAATATGCCCAACACAAGTCATGCGATGGTATGGAGTCAGGCTCTGGTGAGTTTTATCAGTTAATCATAAGGCCAGAGTTAAATCCATTGAAAATCTATTATTGTCCCCAGACATTATGTCATCCATACAATTGTTTCCGAATGCGGAAATATTGTCTACTTCAGGTCAAGTAATCGGATTGTAAACGTCATATCGAATCCATGATTCACCTATAACCGACTGCATCCTAATTCAAATTCAAATCCAGGCGCTTGTAGGGGTTGCCCACTTCAGTCGACAGATCAGGCACGGTGCCCGGGATATAGTGAGGCGTTCCCTTTTCGCCGCCTGGCACCAGCCCCGGTTTCTTTCCCAGGTCCTTGTTGATCTTCTCGCGCCGGGCGAGCTCTTTCTCCAGTTCTTGCTTCCAGTTTATGTTGTTTTTGTCCTTTTGCCCATATTTGTCACTCCAGATTTTGCCAAAGATTTCTACAAAACGGTCAACATCGGAAGGAGCACCAGCAGGGAAATACTTACGGACGGTTTCATGCTGGACAGGCTTCGTGGCCGGTGAAAGCGAGGATCCCAAGTTGTAGATGAAGTGCCACTTCATGCGTTTGTCGAGCGTGTCCCAATGCTCCCTGCACTGCTTGTAGTCGACATCTTCCACCGTGCTCCGGTATCTCATCACCTCGCCCTGCCACTTGAGATAGCTGATGTTGTAGTGGTCGGGGGTCTTGAGCGTCTTGAGTACGCTGCCGAGATAGTTCGGCACGTGGCCATAGTTGGTCATGTTGTAAGCGCCGTTTCGCCTGGTGGGATCGTAGACATACGAGCAAGCCTTGTTGGGCGGCAGCTGGTCATGGTTGGCTCCCAGGCGGTATCGCTGCGAGTCTCCATACGAGAGAAGACGGATTTGGAGCACTGCACCGTTAGAGGAGAAGATAAATAGGAGAGGCGGACATACGAGGATCAGGAGAGATATCCCAGCCAGGCACAATGTTGGCCGGCGTGAACGCAGCCTGTTCGATCTGGGTAAAGTAGTTCTGGGGCACTTCGTTCAGCGTGATCTTGCCAAACTCGGTCCACGGGCAGTCCGTTTCGGGCACGACTTTGGTGGCATCGAAAACATCGATCGACGTCTTGGCCGGATCCAAGATCTGGGCATAGACCTTCCACGTGGGATGTGGTCCATTCTGGGTCTCCTCATACAGCCGGCGGGTCAGGTAGTCCGGGTCTTTGCCCACGTTGGCGGTTGCTTCGTCGAGGGTGAAGTAGTCTCTTTCCGGGTCGATTGGCGGATCAGGCAGCATCTTGATTCTCACCAGATGGTGGTCCCATTCGGTGTCCTGGACATGTCAGTCGATTCAATCATACGGTGGAGAGAACTGACATTCTTCTTCTTGGTAAAGGTGTAGGTGTTGATGCTGGCAATCAGCAGGCGAGAGTAGGAGGAGGGGGTCCCTTCATCGGTGAGGTTTCGCATCAAGGCATTGTACACTTCGATGTTGTTGTTGAAGAAGCTGATCATTAGCATGGTCCATATATCCAGAAGGTCTATCTTACTCCCATGTCTAGGATTGTTAGCAGTGATCAACAAGTATAAGAGAAGACATACCATATTCGCATCCAGCAAGTTGGTGGCAGGATCACGCTTCTTTGCGTGTACCAGAGAGGCAAACTTGGCCGGGTCTCTGATGTTGAACACTTCCTATAGTCCGTTAGCTGATGAAGCTATACAGACAATCCATAACTCACCGGGTTGAGGAAGACCCAGTCGAGATTGCCCTCTTCGGTATAGAGCTTAAAGGCACAGCCCTTGCCATCTCGAACGGTGTCTGGATAGCCAGACTCACCAGCGATGGTCGAGAACCGAGACAGCAGCCTGGTCTTCTTGGGCTTGCCGTGGGAGTCGGGCTGGAGGAAGTTGGCGTCGGTGTATTTCTTGATCCAGTCTTGGTTGGTGGTTTCGAACTCTCCAAACACACCGACTCCTTTGGCATGGACGACTCTATGCTGATCAGTATCTGCTGTTGTAACTGATGATGGGGCTTACCGTTCGGGGATTCTCTCGCGACTGACGTGAACAACCGACTCAACTGTGTTGAGATCCTGGATGAGCTGAGAGCCATAGCGGCTGTTGTTCACCTTCTTGTCGACCCTTTCAGCCAGCAACGGATGCTCCACGGGGCAGCCTGAGATCATGAGATATAGAACTATGAAGCAGTTGGATAGACGTACCGTTGGGCATGGTAAAGTAGTTTCTGCTTTCGGGAGGAGGGGGGATCCGTCCTCCCACTGGACAGCCAGCAGAGGTTTCTATAGAGCATTAGAGATGTTCAGTCTGGAGGAAGGGCTTCCCACCTTGCTGAGTGCCCTGGGGCCTTGGTTGGGATGTCATCTTGATTGAACTGTTCTCTTGTTCTGTTGTCTTTGTTGTTCTGTTGTTCTCTGCTTGTACTGTGATTCTTCTCGTTCAACGCCACCAATTTATATCCATCCAGTCTCGATGACGCACCCTCTGGCCTCGATGAAACCGTCCATTCTGCACTTGTTCAAACCCCTCAGTTGACCAATACTCACAGCCAGACGCACCGCTGCCTAATCTCAGACTTGAAAGGCAAACCCGTAAACAGCGATTCGAAGCGTTCAACAGGATGAACATCGCCAAACCAAGAATGGATCGGCTGTCCAGTTCGTCAACCGGATAAACAGCCTATCATGGCGTCTGGTTTATTCAGTCCGAGAGTCCCTTGCATGCATTCAATGCTGCATGTAACACAGATGGCGGGGTATGCAGCTTCAGCCAGCCACACAGAGAGAGGAGAATACCGAGTCGACGCGTCATAAGAATTACAACCACTGTTATTGGAGGGGCTGTGGATAATGCTGAAGAGAAGAATACGACGGGTCGCTTTGCAACCCACGGATATTGATGGTCTACTCATGGTATACTCACGGTGTGCTCAGAGGATATGATACGTCGCATGAATGATCGCCGGTCAAGCAACGGATGAAGCCGTGGGAATGCTCCACCCGGATGAAGGAGAAGGTGAGCCGAGTGTCTCAGTTGGCTGCCTTCATTCTTGACATCATCTCTTCAGCGGATATGGATTTCCTGATTGACAGAAGCCAGTCTTGGATGACACTGTTTACGGCAAATCATGTATTCCAACTCGCGGATGCATTCATACGATGACACTTTTGATACTTGTCGACCGTGGAAACTCGGCTGAAAACATCCTGCCTCGATGGATCATAGATCCACATAACAATCGGGCCGTGGTTTGACGTCAACCGGAAAATGAACTCCTGTCTGTGATGGCAGCCTCTTCTCAGGCAATGAGTTCATTCGGTGACTCTGAGATGAAACCGTTTGCAGAATGTACATACTTGTATAGTCTCAGTGGAGTTAATCGAGACTCGTTGAATCATAATGCAACCTCATCGCTTTCTTCGACGTCACGAAGAATGGCATTATCCTCTCTTCCTCAAGTATAAAGCATCTCACGAGGTGCACCGATGCCTTGTCATCTTCAACCATCATGAAGTACACCATCAGCATCGCCCTTTTGGGCTCTCTCGCACTCGGCCACTGCGCCCAACGGCCTCTCCCCGGCAGTGGATGGCGAACTCAGGGATCACCGTCTGATAATCCTCACGACATCACGCCTGGTGTCATTAGCGATCCTCTCCTGGTCAAAGACAAGGTCTACGACTTTGTCATTGCCGGCGGTGGTCTGACTGGCCTCACTCTCGCTGCGAAACTGCTCGAATCCGACACCCTGGACAGAGATACCACCGTCCTGGTCATCGAGAGTGGCTTCTATGGCTCTGAATACGGGCCCATCATCGACGATCTCAACACATACGGCCAGATCTTCGGCAGCTCCGTCGACCATGCCTTTGAGACCAACCCCCAAAAGGCCCACAACCGCGTCGAGATCATCCGATCGGGCAACGGGCTGGGTGGTTCGACGCTGATCAACGGAGGCACCTGGACGCGCCCGCACAAGAAGCAGGTCGACTCGTGGCGGGAGGTGTTTGGCAACGATGGATGGGACTGGGACGGTCTGCTGGGGTACATGAACGATATCGAAAAGCCTCGCGATCCCGACGACTCCCAGAGCCATGTCACGCCCGGTCACTGGCACAACTACACGGCCGCATGCCACGTCAAAACCTCTCATGACATCGAGGGCAAAGTCGAAGTCGGCGCTCGTGATCGCAACCGGACCTGGTCGCCTCTTATTCCAGCCTTCCGGGATACTGTCAAGGGTATCTATCCTGATTCCCCGATCGGACTGGACTTGTGCTGCGGTGAGCCACGCGGCGTATCCATGTTCCTGAACACCCTCACGGAGGACCAGATCAGGACGGATGCATCCCGGGCGTGGTTGCGGCCTATCTTGAACAATGACCACACCAAGAAGCGCATCACGGTGCTGACGGGCCAGCTGGTGGGCAAGATCAATCTGGAGAAGGCGAATGGCACCGACGCAGCATACAAGGCCACGGGCGTCGAGTTTGGCACCCACAACAAGGAAGGCTCGCGGTTCAACGTGACGGCGGACGATGAGGTTCTGGTGGCTGCTGGCTCGGCCATCTCGCCTCTGATCCTGCAGCATTCTGGCATCGGCCCCAAGGATGTTCTCCAAAAGGCCGGCGTCGATCTCAAGGTCGATCTCCCCGTGGGCCTCAACTTGCAGGACCAAACCACCACTTCGGTCGTCTCCGGATCGACCTCTGCCGGCAACGGCCAGGGTCAGGCCGCCTTCTTTGCCACCTTCGACGAGGTCTTTGGCCCCGACGCCAACGAGTGGGGGGCGAAGCTCAACAGCAACGACACCCTCCGGGCGTGGGCGCAGGCAGTCGTGGCCGGCGGAGGATTCCACGATGCAGACGCGCTCTTCACGCAGTACGTCAACTACCGCACCTGGCTGCTGGATCACAATGTCTCGTACGCCGAGCTGTTCCTCGACACCGACGATCGCATCCATTTCGATCTGTGGGATCTGATTCCCTTTACGCGCGGATACGTCAAGATCCTCGACGCCGACCCCTATCTGCAGAGCTTCGAGTACAATCCTCGCTACTTTGAGAACGAACTCGATCTGTATGGCCAGGCCGCTGCCACCAGACTGGCCCGGGATATCACCCGCAGCGGCTCGCTGAACAGCACCTACGCGGGTGATGAGAAGATCCCCGGAGATCTCCTGCGACAGGGCGCTTCGCTGAAGGAATGGGCGCTCTACGTGAAGCAGAACTTCCGGGCCAACTACCACGGCGTCAGCACCTGCTCCATGATGCCAAAGGAGGTGGGAGGCGTGGTTGATTCGAAAGCCCAGGTGTACGGTGTGGACCGTCTGCGTGTTGTCGATGGCTCGATTCCGCCCACGCAGGTGTCATCGCATGTCATGACGGTGTTTTATGCGATGGCGTCCAAGATTGGCGATGCTATTATCAAGAAGTATACTCCAAAGGGATCATATGAGCTGTAATCTGTCTGGAATAGGATTACATGAACACTGGGAGATAAGGATTATATCAGTAAGCATAGATTCTAGAGTGGGGGCCATTCTATAACTATCTGATTCATATATAATAATGCACAAATAATTCATAATAATCAAAGCGGGGTATTTATCCATTGATCCACTGTCAGCCTTGCCATCTGTCTATCTGTCCTGTCACTGTCCTGTCACTGTCTGTCAAAATGACCAGCCTTGTCTTCGCCCCCGGGGCCTGGTATCCCCCAACGGCCTTTGATCCCATCATCCACAAATTGAGGCCTCTGGGCTATGCATGTCAAACCATTGCCTTTCCGTCCATCCAACAAGCACCGATCGTCGAGGATCTGCAGCTCGACATTGCGGCCGTGCGCACCGCGGTCGAGGACGCAGCAGACGCCGGCCAAGAGGTGATGGTCATCGCGCACAGCTGGGCTGGCCTGCCGGTGAACAGCGCATTGGACGGACTGAGCAGGGAAGAGAGACAGAAAACAGGAAAGCCAGGAGGAGTGGTCCGGCTGCTGTTTCTGTCGGCGTTTCTCCCAGACGTTGGCCAGAGCCTGATCGGGGCCTTTGGAGGCACTCCTCCACCGTGGTATATCCGCGATGTTCGTCCTCTATAATATAATACAATATAACACATCTAACAGTACAGGAGGCAAATGGCACCGTCACAGCCAGCGATCCCTTTTCCCTCTTTTTCCACGACGTCCCCGATGGCCAGGAGTGGGCGCAGACTCTCCGTCCTCACGCGTGGGCGACCAAGAATTCCCCTGCGACAGCTGCTGCCTATCGGACGATTCCATCGGCGTATCTTCAGTGCGAGCATGACCGGGCAATTCCCCTGTTTGTGCAGGAAGCGATGGTCGAGAATGCGCGGCAAAAAGGGGCGTTGATGGAGAGTGAGACGATCCCGACGGCGCATACGCCGTGGCTGGTGATGCCGGATGCGGTGGTGGATTATATCAGAAGACAGGCTGAGAGTGTTTGACTGAAGCTATTATCGATGGAATTGATCGGTCGGCAGCACTGATTTGTTAGTTCTGTTGGAGTATAGAAGATGAAGACTTACAGCCGATTTCCCTGTTATCCCAGTCAAACACACTGTAGAAGCGCTGTAGGAAAGACAGTCCAAGAACAGAAATGTCTTCTGTTCCCTCAGTGACATCCAGGATACAGTGCACCTCACCACTTTCTTTAAAATGCGCTTCATAGCTATATTCATACGGCCCGATGGTAAAGTTGTGCCCGCCCATCTCCAGCGAGATGCTGGGCATGCTGTCGCGTCGACCGCAGTCAATCTCCTGCAGCAGAAATCCCAACGGTCGCGGATTGATCATTTTTAGCCACGGACCCAGAATGATATCCGGGAGACCGAGGGTGGACATTGCCGGTTCGAAAATGACGGTGTGGTTGTGCAGAACGGCGCTGCCGTTGACGGTGTGAATAGCATCAAGTCGGGTCTGCCACGGCGTCGGCATGAAGGGAATGGCAGTTGCCGTCAACGGCACGCGCCGGATGCGATCGCCCAGTCGCGGATGATCGTCGGTGATGCCAAAAGTCAGAGCGCCTGTTTCATTCTCGTGGTTGGGTGGTTTGATGGAGAAGCGATTGCCATTCAGGGCCTTCTGGTTGATCATGGAGGCAAAGACACTGTCGATCCTCGTGCTTTGATTGCCCGTCGGAGAGAATCCGAGGATTGTATCGAAATCATGATCCCACAATGGCGATGATTGAATCTGTTTTGTCGCTTCGATAAAGGTTTGATTGGGAAGGTCAACGCCAGCGATGTGAAGAGTGTCCGAGGCGAGATGGCCGTTTGTTCTGAATGCGCCGTATTCAGTGGAGGAATTGCGGTCGGAGATGCTGGCAGACGAGGAGAGAGAGGCATCGTATTTGAGATATCCAGAACATCGTGAGGAATTGCAGGCCGTCGATGGGATGGAGAGATCGTTGGCCGCGAGATTGACGGCGCCTCGGAAGGGCTGAGGGGGAGAGCCGATGGAGAAGTGGGCGATGAGGAGATTGTTTGCTCTCTATTAATTAGTATAGATTCAAGATGGATAAAGATGAGAATATACAGTCAGCGAGGCAATGGGATGCGAATGGGCCGGAATGGGCTTGACGGCGAGATAAAACGGTCGGACAGCAAAGATGATGACATTCACAGTCAGGCAGAGCAGAATGGCGATGGACCAGTTGTTGAGATGCATTTTGATGATTATTTTTATTACTATGGAAATGATGGGTCTTTATATTAACGAGTCAAACTAATATTAGTTCTTATATTTGGCCCCATTGTGGCGGTGTTCTTCATAATAATTATGAAAGATACAGATGTATATATCCTACTTGATCAACCTCACGGGCTCTCGCTTCCACATCAACACCAGCGACAACAACTGCGCCAGACTGAATCCTCCCGCGGCCTTCATCTGCTGGTTATACGCTTCCGCATACGCCACTCGCACTGTCTCCTGCATCTCCGGTGCCAACTGCGCAATCGCCTCGGCCGTATCCAACAGCGCATCCAGCTGTTTCGACGACAACACCGATCGAAGAGAACTCTTCAAATGGCTGTTCATGATGGTCGTCGCAATCGACACGCCCAGTGCACTGCCCAGCATCCGCAGCTGCAGTCCGGTGCCCAGCGAGATGGACTGGTCTTGTTTGTCCACCACGATCGGCACCATGATATAGAAGGCCGCGGCACACATGCCCACGCCCAGGCCAGCCAGCACCGTATATCCAAACTGGCCCAGCCAGAGATCGGTGGTGGTGGGAATGGTTGACAGGAGGAACAGACCGACTGCCTGTAACGCTGCACCGACAAAGATCACATAGGCAAAAGGCACTTTAAGCCGTCCGACCAAGATCGAACAGCTGATGGTGCCAATAGGATTGCTGACCGCGTACGCCAATAGCTTCACGCCAGCCCCGATGGCAGAGCTTTGGTTGACCGTTTGATATCGTTGAGGGAGTTCAATCACGCAGATGGTCAACGGGGCGCCAGTCAAAAGAAACCCTCTATCCCGGTCAGTACAGAATATTCAAATCAAGAGGACACATACAGAGCAACACCCAGGAAGATACGATTCTTCGCCATCCGCCACGGCAGCATCGGTTCAATCTGCGTCTGGCGATGGCTGATGAACCATTCCCAGGCAACAAACACCAGCCACAGAACGCCAGACAGCGCAATCAGCGTGATGATCGCTCCAGACGACCATTGGTAATCGAGATTGCCCTCTTGCAGCGCGGCGATGATCAGCATCGATGCGGCCAGGACGAGGAACGCACCGAGAAAGTCGACGCGACGGAAGAACGCCCGCTGTTTCTGCCAGAAGGAGTCGATCTTTTCTTCATAGGATGGGGCGTAGGGAAAGTGACTGGGCATGGCGATGAAGAGGAGGGCCCAGGCCAAGGCACCGGCGGGGAGACTGTATATATTAGTATCAAAAGAGATAGAAAGGAAGATGGAGAGTACTTGAGGAGAAAGACCCATCGCCAGTGACCGGATTCATCGATCGCACCACCGAATAACGGACCCAGAACGAGGCCCAGAGCGAGAATGACAGCCGCAATGGCAGCGATCAGGTCGTATTTGGCCAGAGGGACGATGCGAACAAAGGAGAAGAGGGTGAGGGTGTAGACGCCGGCCGCCCCGACGCCTTGAAAGGCACGACAGATGATCCTTGAGAGATGAGTATATAATATATGACATATAGAAAGAGAAATACAGTTGATTCAGTGTCTGAGCACCCCCACAGCCACCAGAAAAGGCGATAAAGACAAACAGCGAGGCGAGCAGCGAGGGTTTGACGCCAAAGATGTCGCCACATTTGGACCAGATCATGAGAAAGCCTAAAATAAGTATATAATATAGATAAAGGATATAAAATAAATACCGGTATAAGTCAGAAGATAGGACGTAATGACCCAACTGCTGTGGTCGAAGCCTTGCAGGTCGTTGGTGATGGTGACGAGCGAAGTGCTGACGATGCTGACTTCGAGGGCTGTGAGGAAGAGACTGAGGGCGATTCTATTTATTCACTCATATTAGCAGATGTAATATCTTATATACATCATAAGAATATCATACCCCAATGCAACTGTGAATAATCGAACGCCACGAAGATAGGCGCCCTCCGGTTCGTCCGCGGGCGATGTGGTGTCATGTTGGTCCATGATGGAGTTACGACTACTAGAGAGAGAACAGGTATAATGATGATATATATATTATAATATATTAATATTATAATAACGATGCCGGTGTAACCAGAATGCAAGGCGCATGCATTAGTTCTCACCGTCTCAGCTTGACAAATAATTGCTTCTTCCCACTAGCAATTGATAGTCTATCGCGCTGTCATCTAGTCTTCACCTCCGCCACCGATCGACATGGCTATTGCTCGGTTGATCACCTTGCCCATCGCTATCACATCCTCCCCCGCCGTCGACACTTCGTGGCCCTTGTCGTGCACATACCACGATCGCTTGGCCGCCTTGCACGTCAGACTCGCCAGCCGCGCCTGTGCCTCCTCCGGGTCCGCCGATCCCCAAATATGGGCCGTCGGGAGATCCAAGGCCTCGCTTATCGCTCCGAGATCCAAATCGACGATCGTTCGGGACGAGGAGGGGTAAGGGGTATAGGGGATGTTGGTGTTGGAGAAGAAGACGCCCACTTTGAACGGGAGTTCCGTCTGGTTCTCGCGCGCCTTTTGGAGCATCCACGAGATGGCAATGTTTGCCCCCAGACTAAACCCCATGATGCCATCGTAGGGGCCTTCGACCTGCAGATAGTGCTCCAGGTCGCTGACCACCTGGTCGGTGAAGGAGGGGAGCGAGGGGTCGCAGTAGGAGAAGGTGTCTTCTTTGCCAAACATGTCGTCTTGAAAGGCTTCACATCGTTAATCATACAATTATTATAATAAAGATAATAAATACCTGGATCAGCCTCCCATGGCACGGTCCCCTCGACGAAATCGTAAGAATGGCCCCCGCCCAGTTCGTATCGCAGAGCGGCTGCACAGTCAGTATCAGTATTATAATCAGGGATGCAATAATATCATCCGGATAGTATCAGATAACACAATGAACGGATAGATGGAGATACCTGTTTGTTGCCGGAAGATCTGCAAACCATGGCGTCAGAGAGCTGAATGATCGAGGAGACTCCACTTACCCTGGAATTACTTCCCATGCCATGCAAACTATTGGCGATCATCAGCGATCATTCGATAGAGCATTTGGGAGACAAACCAGAGGAAGCGCATTGTGGCGGTGGTGGGGTCGATGGCTGAGCTGAGGGGTAAAGTATGGTATGAGCGACTATGAGATGACGATGATGAGAATGATGGACAGACTATGAGATGGACAGCTGAGACGACGACGCCTTTATATCCTCCAACTGGGTAATCGGATCTATTGGTGACGACCTGCAGCAGAGGCCAATCCGCATGACAGTCGATATTCCGATCTGTACAACCTCAATCCAACGATCCTCGATCGAATCAGCGACCAACTTGTGGCGATTGTGCAACCTCGGGCCTTTCTATTGGCAGGCCTCGTGGCTGTCACACAATAGAGCCGTGACATGCTCTCGATCCTGCCAATAGCGCAGTCACATCTGGCCCTCTATCACGACATGCTGATTCGGCCCAGCTGATATCACATTGCAGCCCCCTCTGCATCGACGTTTCTGGCAACTCTACACGCTTGTCTGACATCAGCCAGCCCGTCTGGAATTCCAAATCAATCCTCGCCGTCTCGGCTGGGAATGGTATCAGCATCACGAGGATGCTGCTTTGGGAAGGAGAGGTGTATACTATTGTGTCCATCAAAGTCAGGTCGAGCGGAAGGCCTGACGATGATGTCTATAAGAAGGGAACCCTGTCTGTCCTACAGAAGAATGGAACCATAGCATTGTCGTCATCACAATACATTATCTGTATCAAATCATCATTTCATATCGTATCATATCACAATCATGCGCGTTCCCACTGATACTTCCCTCCCTCCCCTGGCCATCGTCGGTCTCTCCCTCAAATTCCCTCAAGATGCCGTTTCCCCCCAGTCGTTCTGGAAGATGATCGTCGAGGGCAGATGTGCATCTACGGACTTCCCCTCGGACCGTCTCAACATTGATGCCCATTATCACCCGGACCAGAACCGTCTGGATACCCTCTCCGTCAAAGGCGGCCATTTCATGAAAGAAGATGTCTCTCTCTTCGATGCCCCCTTCTTCTCCATCACTGCTGCAGAGGCTGAAGCCATGGACCCTCAGCAGCGGCTGGTCTTGGAGACAGCCTACCGAGCATTGGAGAATGCCGGTATTCCCATGGAGAATGTTGCCCGGTCCAAGACGTGTGTCTTTACCGGCTCGTTTGGCCATGACTATCAGTCGCTGCAGGTCAAAGATCCGCTGCTTCTGCCCAAGTGGAATGCCACGGGCACATCGATGAACATGCAGTCGAACCGGGTCAGTTGGTTCTTTGACCTGGTTGGGCCCAGTTCGACGGTCGACACAGCATGCTCAAGTAGTTTGATGGCCGTCGATCTGGCATGCCAGTCCATCTGGAGCGGTGATTCCACCATGGTAAGTCTCATCATCTATCACGATAACAGCAGCTAACTTGGCAGGGCCTCGCCATCGGAAGCAATGCTATTCTGGCCCTGGAAACAGGCCTCAGTCTGAACAACCTCGGGCTTCTATCCACCGATAGTCGCTGCTACAGCTTCGACCGTCGCGGCAATGGATATGCCCGAGGCGAGGGGGTTGGCGTGCTGGTCATCCGCCCCCTGGAAGACGCCATGCGCAATGGCGACACCATCAGAGCCGTGATTCGGTCGTCTTCATCGAATCAGGATGGAAAGACACCCGGCATCACGCAGCCGAGTTCAGACATGCAGCGGCAGTTGATCCGGGATACATACCGCAAGGGTGGTCTGGATCTGGCTTCTACACGGTATTTCGAGGCACATGGAACAGGTATGCTACTCTTACCATCTTGTTGGGTGATATTAACAGAATAGGAACTGCCGTTGGGGATCCCATCGAAGTCAAGGCGATTGGATCGATATTTAGGAATCATCGCAGTCCAGATGATCCGTTGTACATGTATGTCTCATCACTGAACTATCATCACATACTAATGACAACAGAGGATCCGTCAAGTCGACCATCGGCCATTTAGAAGGCGCCAGCGGAATTGCAGGCATCATCAAGGCCGTTCTTGCTTTGGAACGAGGCGTCATTCCTCCGAATAGCACGAATTATGAGAATCTGAATCCTCGAATTGACGATGAATTCTGGAATATCAAGGTATGCATCCTCATCTTGCAATATATAAGATATACTGACAGTCTAGATACCCAACAAAGCTATATCCTGGCCAACAGACGGTCTCAGACGGGCATCTGTCAGTTCATTCGGCTTTGGTGGTTCCAACTCGCATATTGTGCTGGACGATGCATACCATTTCCTGCATCTCCGAGGACTGCGAGGGAACCACAACACCGTCAAACGTCCTCCATCTGTCAAGTGCAATGGCGTCGTCAGCATCGAGAATGCCCAGGAAGCCAATAGCCTCACCCAACATTCACCCAAAGTCCTCGTCTGGTCGTCTGCAGATGAACAGGGAATTGCCCGTCTACAAGACGCCTGGAGACCGTTTCTATCCACCATCGAAGAAGACAGACAGCAATATCTGAATGATCTCGCATACACCCTCAACAGACGCCGAAGCCACATGCCATGGCGCACATTCGTCGTTGCCCAGCCTGACGACGACTGGACGAAACTCGCAGACGGGTTTTCCTCCACTACCCGGTCTATTGCATCGCCCAACATGGCCATGATCTTCTCCGGTCAAGGTGCGCAATGGTTTGCAATGGGACGTGAGTTGCTTCATGTCTATCCGGTCTTCATGCAGAGTGTTGAAGAGGCTGGTATCTACCTGAAGACTATGGGATGTCGATGGAATGCCCTCGATGAACTGCTGAAACCCGCATCCGAGTCGAACGTCAACCAGACCGAATACAGCCAGACACTCTGCACAGTGGTCCAAGTCGCTCTGGTTGATCTTCTTCGATCGTGGGATATCGCCCCCAAGGCAGTGGTTGGTCATTCGTCTGGAGAGATTGCCGCAGCATACTGCACCCGCGCCATTTCACGAACCTCAGCCTGGAAGATTGCCTACCATCGAGGCAAACTGAGTGGAAAGCTGGAGAAATTCAGTCGAACCAAGGGGTCGATGTTAGCTGTGGCGCTATCTGAACAGGATGTTCTGTCTTACCTGGACGATCTCAGCGATGAGGTTGATATCCTTCGCCTGACGGTTGCGTGTATCAACAGTCCCAAGAGTCTGACCATTTCCGGAGAAGAAGACCAGATCGATCTGCTCCGAGAACGACTCGACAAAGAAGGCGTCTTTGCCCGGAAGCTCAAGGTGTCTGTGGCGTATCACTCGTTCCAGATGCACGAGATTGCCGGCCACTATCAGCGAGCCATCGGCAGTCTGGATAGAGACAGTTCGGATGCCAACGATCCTCCTGAGATGGTCTCGTCGGTCACAGGAACCTGGGCTGCTCCAGATGAACTGCGCCGGGCATCGTATTGGGTGCGCAACATGGTCTCTCCTGTCCTGTTCTCGCAAGCTGTATCCAAGCTGTTCTCTGAGACGACGTCGGATCCCATCAAGAAGCTGGATCGAAGCCATCGACGAAAACTCCCTATCCACCATTTGGTGGAGGTTGGACCGCATTCAGTCTTGCAAGGACCGTGCAAGGATATCCTCAAGACAATCAAGAAGGACAAGACGGCGTATCTCTCCATGCTGGTGCGGAATGTCTCTGCGGTCGATACTGCATTGTCCGTCGTTGGCAATCTGTATGCAGCTGGATATCCGGTCAATCTATCCAGAGTCAACAACGACGGGGAATTGACAGACCAGACAATGCCCAAAGCACTGCCCGATCTGCCTGAATATCCCTTCAACCACACCAAGTCCTACTGGCACGAGAGTCACATCAGCAAGAACCACCGACTGCGCAAGATCGGACGGGTTGATTTACTCGGAGTCCGCGATGACAACTGGAATCCTCTCGAGCCACGATGGAGGAATATCATCCGAGTCTCTGAGATGCCCTGGGTTCAGGATCACAAGATCAACGACACGATTCTCTATCCCGGCGCAGGAATGCTGGCCATGGCCATCGAAGGCGCTAATCAAATGACCAACGGCAAGAAGATAGCCGGCTTCAATCTGAAAGACACGACATTCCACGCTGCCATCCGCGTTCCAGCAACCAAAGGCATCGAGACGGGGCTATATATGCGTCCGATCAAGGGAATGGAGACGAAGAGCTCGACATGGTTCGACTTTCGCGTCTGCACGTACGAGAATGACACCTGGACGGAGAATTGCACTGGCTCGATTCAGATCGTGTATAGCCCAGAGGGTGAGCAGAATGATGATGAGATGGCTGCTGAGTTATTGGAATACCAGGCGGACTGCTATTCGGAGACGAAGAATGTGTGTCATACTCCTATTGATGCAGGCAGTCTGTACAAGTTCCTGAGCAGCTGTGGGTATGGATATGGCGATGCATTCCAGCTCATCAAGACGCTCAACTTCAACTCTCACCATCCCATGCAGGTAGTAGGAGAGGTGACAAGCTACTCATCGCCTGCCGGTGAGGTTATTCATCCGTCGACTCTGGATGCCATCATGCAGACATCCATCTGGACGTTGTCCAAGTCAGGCACTGAGACTATTCCCACGATGATCCCGACGCACATTGACAAGTTGTGGATTTCCAATGAGGGTCTGAAAGACATCTCATCCCTTAGAGTGCATTCATCGACTATGCAAGGGCAGTCTGACGCATCGGCAGACATTACGGCCTTTGACGATGAGCTGCAGCAGTCGCTGGTGTCTCTTAAAGGGCTCAAGATGAGCACCGTCAGTGCCAACGAAGTGGAAGAGATGCAGACATCAAAGGATAATCTATGCCACCATCTCGAATGGAAGCCTGATATTACTCTGCTGAATAACGACGAGATCACCTCTTTGTGCCATCAGGAATACCCTCTTACAGCCACCCCAGACAATACCTATACCGAGGCAGACTTCCTTTTGAATGCTCGCATTGTCGAGACTCTCGATCGTCTCTCTCAGACAGAATACCAACTTCCTCATCCTCATTACAAGAAGTACATCGACTGGATGGTTTATCGCAAACAACTCCTCGATCAAGGCAAAGTCCAGTTCTCGTTCGAACCATGGAAGAGCCGTCTTCAAGATAAAGCCTTCATCCAGACAATCGAGAACAAAGTGATGAACTTCAACAAGCAAGGCAACGTGGTGGCCAGCGTCGCTCAGAATCTCTTCAAATTCCTCACAGGCGAGATGGACGTGCTCCACTTCCTCTTCGAAGGCAGTCTCATGAAGGACTTTTACTTTGAATGGCTTCACGAATCCCACGGCCTCAAACGCTTCGCCAAATACCTCGATCTCATGGCTCATCACAATCCCAGCATGAAGATCATCGAAGTCGGTGCCGGCACGGGCTCCATGACAGACATGCTGCTGCGCACGCTGGGCAGAGGCGAAGACATCTCGAGTCATCGACGCTACGCCAAGTGGGATTTCACCGATATCTCACGGTCTTTCTTCGCCGATGCCCAGGATGAGTTTAGCGAAGAGGGCGATCGCATGAAGTTCAATACGCTGAATATCGAGCAGGATCCGGAGGGACAGGGATTCCAGTGTGGGAGCTACGATGTGGTCGTTGCCTCAATGGTATGTTCATTCTTGAATTGATCGATTGATGCTAATTGTATATTGTAGGTATTCCATGCAACCTCCGATCTCAAGGCTACGTTGAGCCATGCCAGGAAGCTGCTCAAGCCAGGCGGAAAGCTGGTGCTGTATGAACTCACCATGCCGGAAGTCATCCGGACAGCCTTTGTCTTTGGCCTTCTTGAAGGATGGTGGTTGAGTAAGTCTTCTACCCTTTATGTCAGTCAATTCTAATGTATCAGGCTCCGAACCGTATCGCCAGCTGGGTCCTTGTGTCGACCAGGATAAATGGCACGAATTGCTTCAAGAGACTGGGTTCTCTGGACTCGATGTCAGTCTGGCTGACTATGAAGATCCCACTCGCCATGAACAGAGCCTGCTAGTGTCGACGGCAGTAGAAGATATCTCCGAGCCATCACAGCCCGAGATTGAGATTGTCTTCGATCCATATGAATCCGGACAGGAAGAAGTCGCAGAATCGCTGGCTGAAGAGTGTCAAGTCAAGATGAATGCTGCCGTCAAATGCAGTTCGATCCAAGAGGCAGCAGCAGCCAATTCCCAAGACATTCTCCTGCGCGTCTTCTTGATTGAGCTGCAAACGCCGTCATTGGCAGACATGCAGCCAGAACTATACGCGCAACTGCAGACTCTCCTCAAATCGACAACAGTTCGCACTCTTTGGGTCAACCAAGGAGGAGGCCATCTTTCGCCCCGACCTCACTTTGGCCTCGTCGAAGGTCTCTTCCGAGTTTTGATGGAAGAAGACGACCGGCGCAGATGCTACCTTCTGTCGCTGGAGGAATCAACATCGCAACACCGGCAGATTGTCAAGGTCATGCAGTCTCTTCTCGCCGAACCCGGTGTCGACACCGAGTACATCGAGCAGAAAGGAATCCTCCATATCGGCCGTTTGTCTCCGTCTAAAACTATCAACGACGCTGTCTCCCTTCGCACAACTCCCCAGCAAAAGAAGATCCAAGACTTTGGCTGCGACGTCGCATTGAAGTTCGACACTTCATCCCCTGCCCTGCTCAATGGCCTACAGTTCATCGAGGATGAAACCGCCTCACGTCCACTGGATGCAGATGAAGTCGAGGTCGAAATCAAATGCGCCGGTCTCAACTTCCGCGATGTCCTGATTGCCGTGGGCCAACTCAAGTCCATCCACAGTGGGTTTGAATGCGCTGGTATCGTCAGTCGAGTTGGATCATCTTGTCAACGCCTCCGGGTCGGTGATTCCGTGGCGGTCCTCGCTTCTGGCTGCTTTGCGAATGTCATCCGAGTGCGTGAGACTGGGGCTGTGGTCAAGATCGATCGGTCTGTGTCTTTTGCTGCTGCTGCTGCAGTGCCGGTCAACTTTGCCACTGCTCATATCGCACTGAATGATGTTGCCAGGATGAAGACAGGCGAGTCGGTGTTGATCCATTCTGGCTCTGGTGGCACTGGACAAGCAGCGATTCAAATCGCACAGAGTCTGGGAGTGAAGGTATTCACAACTGTTGGTTCGCAGAGCAAGAAGCAGTTCTTGATGGATACATACAACATCCCAGCGTCGCACATCTTCTCCAGTCGCTCTACACTCTTTGCCAAAGCTATCAAGCACCGTACCGGTGGAAAAGGTGTCGATGTGATTCTGAATTCATTGGCAGGGGAAAGTCTGCTGGCCTCGTGGGAATGCATCGCACCGTATGGACGCTTCATCGAACTGGGCATGAGGGATATCCTGTCGAACCGCAAACTACCTATGTTGCAGTTCCTTCGCAATGTCACCTTCAGCGTTGTCGATCTCTCATCTCTCCTGGTCGATCGACCGGCCGTGTGCTCGGCTGCTCTGGAATCGGTGTATTCTGGCATCGCGCAAGGAAAGCTACAGCCCCCGCAGCCGGTCAGTGTATATGGAGTTGGCGAGATGGAAAAGGCCTTCCGATCGATGCAGAGCGGGAAGCATGTTGGCAAGATGGTGATTGAAATGCGCAAGGACGACCAGGTGATGGTGAGTATTCTATATCGCTCCTCTGACCTATACTAACGGTCGCAGACGGTCCTCAACACAAAGCCTCGTCTCTCACTCGATCCAAATGCTACCTTCGTAATCGCCGGTGGATTTGGTGGAATTGGAAAGAATATCGCAAGATGGCTGGCGGACAATGGCGCTCGCCATCTGGTTCTTCTCTCGCGATCAGGAGGACAGGGAACAAAGGCACAGACACTGATAAACGAGCTGCACGCACGCCATGTGCAGGTCATGACTCCATTCTGCGACATCTCAGACGAAGCATCACTGCGCAAGGCACTGGCCGAATGCCACTCCATGCCGCCCATCAAAGGCTGCATCCAAGCAGCCATGGTCATCCGAGTATGTCTTCTGATCCTATATCCATGACTCTGCTAACACCAACAGGACACCCCATTCGAGAACATCTCCTACCAATACTGGCAGGAATGCGTCGCTCCCAAAGTGCAAGGGTCGTGGAATCTGCACCAGCAACTCCCATCCGGCATGGACTTTTTCATCATGCTCTCCTCCATCTCCGGCATTATCGGAATGAAAGCGCAGGCCAACTACGCCGCAGCCAATACCTTCCAGGACCATCTTGCTCGGCATCGCATCGGACTCGGCGAAAAGGCAACAGCGTTGAATCTGGGCGTGATCGGCTTCACCGGCGCGGTGGCAGAGAATGCGAAACTGCAAGAGCGACTCGTCGTTAACCTCGGATTTGACGCTGTGATTGAGCAGGATTTCCACGCTCTGATGGACTATTACTGCAGTCCTCAGGTGCCTGGGTACACCGCGACCAACTGCCAGACCACGATCGGGCTGTTCCCCAGTGCGACCAGGAAACCTGCTGGCGAACGAACTTGGATCAAGCGGCCATTCTTCCGCCAGTTGCTGCTGGGCGATGGAGCCGGAGGAAATGCGAATGGCTCTGTCGATCAGGCCAATATTGCCGTCCAACTCCAGCAGGCGCAGTCCCAGTCCGAAGCGAACGAAGCCGTGATGGAGGCGTTGACAGCCAGACTATCCAAGGCACTGTCGATTGCCGTCACAGAAATCGATGCAAACAAACCACTGCATCAATACGGCGTTGACTCGTTAGTTGCCGTCGAGCTTCGCAGCTGGTTTGTCAAGGAATTGCAGGCGGACATTGCCGTGTTTGACATCCTGGGCAGTGCGACGGTGACATCGGTGGGACAGTTGGCCACGAGGAAGAGCAAACTGCGAACGTGGAATTGATCAGCAGCAGTACATAATAAGAATAGAAGAGTAATACCAATTGGCCTTTGGATAAAATCTATTCCTTGTTTTACCCCTCATCGTCCCGCGTCGAAGGATTCGCGGTGGATCCAGAGGTCAAAGAGTCGAACCACCGGATCATCGGATGGCCTGCATTTGATGCTATTGTATTCCATAGATATTGTCTATTGACCATAATCATACTGTCACTCATACAGCCAGACATACCTTGTAGTATATACCTCCCTTCACTCTCCTCGTTCTCCTCCTCATCCTCATGCTCACTGACAATAACAGACCCACTGCTCCACCCGCGCACTTGGCCCGATGGCCTCAAAAACGGAGTCGAATCCCATTGCATCGTTTGTCTTGATAGTCGGGATAGTGCCATTTAGTCTCATGTAGTTTCAAAGTTTGGAATGTGCCTTCTCTGACTGCTCCACCATCACCACCATCGCCTTCTCCGTCGGGGATTGCTGCTGCGGATGTCCGTCCTGCGTTAAGTCTAGCCTTATAGTTGCAGATGGTTTCATGATATGCGTGTTTCCACATGGAGTACACCATGCCCCCAGGCACAAATAGACAGCCCACTGGGATCCAGTGGTTCGCGCCAACGATCGACAACAATGGCTTCAATTGACGCATTTCCTGGCAATCATCCCGATTGGCTGGCATCATGGCCTGATCCATTCAACTCCATTGCTCTGCGGCTATAAAGACTTGGCCCCTGGTGGAATGTCCCTCCGACAAACCTCGCATCTCAAACAACATTCACCATGGACCCCTCCACGATGCAGCTCATTCAAACCCTGTCCGCCGAGGCCAATTCGTCTCTGTCTGGGTTCCAGTCATCTGCCAGCGAATCCGCCCGAATTGACGCCTTGGAGAAGGTGCTGAAACTCGCCAGAGCGTTGGAAAAACCTCGCGATGCCATCCTCAAGCTCGGCTTTTCCGTATGTCCCTCCAGGCAGAATCAGATGGGCAATGCTGACCATCCCAGCCCACGTATCTCATGGCTGTCAAGGTCGCCATCGACTTGAAAATATTCAGTATCTTGGCCAATGCCACTTTGCCAGTCGGTCTCGATGAATTGGCCGCTGCAAAGCCTGCCGATCCTCTCTTGGTGGGTGAGTATCATCCTTCTTCATGAATAGCTTCAAGCATTGACCGGATAGAACGGATAATGCGACTCCTGTGCCAGAATGGCTTTGCGCAGGAATCTGCTCCGTGTGAATACATCGCAACCGCAATTTCCAAAGAAATGACCCAGAGAACCTCGATTGGCGTCATTGAATCTCTGTAAGTGACTCCGATCCACCATGGAGCCTTGCTAATCGTCAGATTCCTGGAACTCCTTCCTGCCATCCAAAAAACCCCCGAGTACCTCGAGCTCCTCAAATACCAAAACCCCTCCGATCCCAACTTCGCTCCTCTCCAATACGCGCATAACTTCCGAATCGACAGCTTCCAATGGCTGTGCCAGAACCCCGAGATAATGGCCAGATTCAACACCTTTATGGAGGGCCAGCGGGCAGGCCGTGCCCACTGGGGCGATTGGTATCCGGTTCGGGAGCGCATCCTCAACGCGGACTTTAAACCCGATCAGGCCTTGCTGGTCGATATCGGCGGTGGACGAGGTCATGATATTTTGGAATTCAAAAAGAGATTCCCAGATGTGTCCGCGAAATACGTTCTGGCGGAACTTCCTGGCGTTCTGGAAGATGCAGAAGAACTCGATGCGGATATCCAGAAATTGCCATACGACTTTTGGACGACCGAGCAGCCTATCAAGGGTGAGTTGTCCCATCCGAACTCAAGAATGCGTACTGATGGAATAGGTGCCCGTGTTTACTACTTCAAGATGGTCTTCCACGACTGGGCCGACGAAAAGGCCCGGATCATCCTGAACAACATCAAAGCCTCCATGGAGAAGGGATACTCCAAGATTGTGGTGGAAGAGTATATCGTGGCGGACATGAATGCCGGAGCCATCCACGGCATCACTGATATCGGCGTCATGGTGTTTTGCTCGGGACTCGAGCGAACACGCCAGCGATGGGCTTCGCTGTTCGAGTCGGTGGGATTGCAGACAACATTCTGGGCTCGCGAAGGCGATGGACTGGGAATTATTGAAGCGGAACTGCCAAATTAAGTAGAGCTATAATCTATACATCCACCATAATCAGATGAAGGCTCCAAGAATACTTTGGCAAATGCCCCCGAAAAATAACAAACAACAAGCATAGACTCTGTGCCGACCTCGAAGAAGCCTCCAGCTCTTTCGGCTGATAAAATCTTCTGATACCAACTCGACCAGCGCAGTGAAAATGAGAATACCAGCGGAAAACCCGTTTGTCACCCCAATAAATGTGGATGCGATTTCTGACTGTTCGTCGTAGATTCCATGCACCGATATGCCGATCCCTTGGCCGATAGGAACCCTAGATGGTCAGTTGAATCCATCGTCAAAGACTATCAATCACCCACGTTACTCCAAAGATCAACGCCATTGCCCACGGTTGAAGGGCCTTTTCAGGCCACGGCAGAAGGGCAATGCGGGATCCCAACGCCATGCCTTGGAAGATTTCTTGCATTGTTAGACAAGATCTAGGAAAGTCGAGTCAAACTCACGGTGAAGAATCCCGGTGACAAACGAGGTGATGAATTTCCCGCCCTCGGTCGTGCTGAGGGAGAGGCCAACAAGCACACTGTGCCCTACGAGTCCCAATTCTAACATCCAAACCAGCATTAGTTCCTTTCGGTGTCTCTGTTCCGGGGTAAACGTAATCGCGTCATCCAGTCGTGCCTCGCCGCGTTCAGCCCGTCTATCCTGTTGGATTTGAATGTCCGGGGCGGATGCCACACCATATACTCGAGGACAATGCGTGTCCCCTTCAGGAAGAGTATAACATGATTGTTGCTCGGGCGTTGCCTCCAAAGCATGTCGAACTGGGTGAAAGACCATCTCGAGGATCGTCACAAAGAGGAATCCACCAAACACGATCGCCCCCGGCATAGGGGGGAAATCACTCCTCCAGAACTCCGACATACACGGACTCTGGAGCGCCTGGAAGCTTTCTGGAATAAGATGCACGAATGCCATGGATAAAAGGACCCCAGTGCCCCAGTGAGTAACGGTGAAGAGATACCAAGGTCGGATGCGCAGTTTGGGAAACCAGGTGGTAAGAAAGGAGGAGAACCCGCATGAGACTGTTCCCACCAAGAGGAGGACGAAGAGAGCCCCTATATCCTTTTTGCGGCTCAAGTCGTGGGACTGTGCAGGCGTACATACTGGCTGTAGGGTTACAGGAGGGGCTCTCGGAATCATGGGGAAAGATGGGATGTTGATTGTTCTGCATATCTGCTTTCCAGTTGTTGTCGATATAGCCCGAATAGACGTGATCACGACGTAGAAATGAGGTCATTTACTACAAAGGAACGGATTGTCATGCTTGTTCCAATGCTCTGGCAGTTGATCAGATATATCTGTCTGTTAACCTAGGTGGCTAGTATTATGAAGCGTATGTACCTTGTCTGGACACAATTTCCCATCCAATAATATAAACAGGAATATCGTATAACCCATGCTGCTGCTTATCAATATCTCGAACCAGCCAATGAGATCAAGCTGACTTCATCCGCGGCTATCATCATTTCTTCTCCGCATCGACTCACCAATTCATCCATCAACACCATGAATCACCGACAATGTCTCGTCCATGGCATGGCCACTGGGGAGCTGCTCTTCTCCGATGTTCCTCTGAGCTTTTGGGCAGGTGTGGAGCCTCAAACTGGACAAATCGTCGATCGCCACCATCCCCTGTATGGCTGCAACATTAACGGCCGCATTCTGGCCATCCCATCCAGTCGCGGTTCCTGTACAGGGAGTATGGTTCTAGTCGAAATGTTCCTTAATGGGAATGCACCGGCAGGTCTCATCTTTCGCGACAAGGAGCAAATCATTACACTAGGGGCCATCGTTGCAAAGGCCCTGTTTGATCTTTCGATCCCTGTTCTTGTCGTTGGGGATGCCTTTGATGCATTACGGAATCAGAAGTTTGCAGCTATTTCTGGAGAAAACTTCCAGGCTAGTAATCAATCACTACCCATGTCTCTTCCTTCGCCGCCACGATCGCCCAGCGATATACAACTCACTGCCGAAGAAAAAGACATTCTCAATGGTAGCCAAGGACCGGCTGCTCAGAAAGCCATGGAGATACTGCTGAGCTTTGCGGACATGCAAGGAGCCCACCGGCTTTTGGCTGTCACCAGAGCCCACATCGATGCTTGTATATACACCGGTCCTGCCAGTGTTCGCATCCCTCAGAAGTTTCTCTCCATGGGCGCCCGGGTCGCTATTCCGACTACATTGAATGCAATCTCAATCGACAGGCGACGCTGGAAAGAGATAGGAATGGATGACAGTCTGGCAACCAATGCGGGCCAGCTGGTGGATGCATACATGGCCATGGGTGCCCAGTCCAGCTTCACATGTGCCCCTTACACCCTAGAGGATCCTCCGAAATACGGGCAGGATATTGGATGGTCCGAGTCAAATGCAGTAGTGTTTGCCAACAGTGTGCTTGGTGCGAGGACACAGAAATATCCCGATTTGATCGATGTATGTATTGCATTGACTGGGCGAGCACCATTGAGCGGGGCGCACTTGGACGAGGGGCGTGTTCCGACCGTTAGAGTTACGATGAAACTGAATCAGATTGACGACTCTGTATACCCAATTTTGGGATATCTAATTGGAAAGATAGTTGGAGGTGACATTCCACTTGTCTGTGGTCTGGAGCAGAGGAATCCCCGGATGGCTGATCTAAAAGCGCTCGGCGCTGCACTTGCGACAACAGCGTCTGCTCCAATGTTCCACGTACGAGGAGTGACGCCAGAAGGAAATCAATATGATGAACTGGATACAGCCAGGGAAATATGTCTCGACAGTGCAGATCTTGTCGACTGCTGGCAGGAACTCAACACCGCGACAGATACTTCGGTAGGATTGGTATCTCTGGGGAATCCACATTTTGCGCTTGAAGAGTTCGATCATCTATCTGGTCTCTGCAAGACTCGTACCAAAAGCCCCGGGGTAAAGATAGCCATCACCACCAACCGAGAGGTATATCAACAAGCATATAAGGCCGGATTCATCGACATCCTCGAGGCATTCGGTGCTGAGATCATCACCGATACTTGCTGGTGCATGCTACAAGAGCCTGTCATTCCACTTGATTGCCGCAATATCATGACCAATTCTGCAAAATATGCACATTATGCTCCTGGAATGGTGCGGCGGGGCGTGCATTTTGGCAGTCTAGCGCAGTGTGTAGAGGCTGCATGCACGGGGACATTCTCGAATGGGCCATCTTGGGAGTTATTATAGGCTGTGTGACGATAGTCCATGATTCAAGAGTGTATCTTCTTTTCTTTCTCAGTCTGATGTATTTGGATGTAACCTCGGCTAGAGCTCTATCTGGATGGCATGTGACTTCATCGCATATCGGTGAGAAGGCGTTGCTACACAAACACAAGCCGTTGAACCATTCTAGATGTTGAGACCCTGCATATTTAGTGCAACTTGATGAAGTACTTATCTCAATGTATTCAGGTCGAGGTCTGACGTGAGATAACATCTTAGAGCTCTCTCGTTGAGATTCAAAACGAGTTGGACTGTCTTGACATGAAAATCCGCAGCGACCATCACAATGTTTTACAAACCTATCATCAGTGTCATTTCGCCATCTCCTGCGTAAAAATACCTCGGGGTATCCCTGAAAATGTCAAAGCCTTCTATCGAAAAGCAAGGGAAGCTGTTCGAACAACTGAGGGCAGTGGCGGTTGTGTGCAACAACAAACTATTTTATGGTATCTAGGAAGACACCATTGGCGACGATGGCAAGCACTAGTTAGCGAGGCCAATCTAGCGCTGGCGACGGACTGTTTTGGCCAAAGAATGAATGCAAACAATGGCCACGATGGCCAGGAAATCTTGTAGATGGCTTTTTCGAGCTGGGATACAGTGCTGGAGAAGACCAAATACGATGCAAAGAATTCCCTGATATTCGTTAAGAGCCTTGCCGCACTCGACGATCGACTGTCGCAAGGCTGAAGTAGCCCTGCGCACATCTCAGTTGGTGGCGATCTCTGCCCGGATGGTTTG